GACAAGTGGTAACAACCTAAATACCCATCAGTTGGGGGCTGGTTAACTAAATGTATGTTATCATACATCCATGCCATGTATATTCTTTAAAAAGAATGAGGTAATTTGAATGACAGACATGGAAGACATCCAAGATAGATTACGTGAAAAAAACAAGTCAGTGGACAGTGTTTAGTATGTTTCCATTTACATAATAAGCTCCTAAAAATTAAACAACCCTACATTTATATATATGTTTTAAGGGATGAGTTTGTCTTTCAAATACCAAAAGTACCTATTGTTCTTTAATTCTTCTGAAACCCACTTCATCCTCATATTAGTCAGCTTGGGCTGCCATAACAAAATACCATAGACTGGGTGCTCAAACAAAAGAAATTTATTTTCTCACAGTTCTGGAGGCTGGGAAGTCCAAGATCAAGGTTCCAGCTGACTCGGTTCCTGGTGAGAGCTCTCCTCCTGGCTTGTAGATAGCCAACTTCTCACTATGTCGTTACATAGTGGAGTGAGAGAGCAAGCTCTCGTGTCTCTTCTTATAAGGACACTAATCCCATGATGAGAACCCACCTTCATGACCTCATCTAACTCTAATTACCTTCCAAAGGCCCCATCTCCAAATACCATCACAGTGGGGGTAAGGGCTTTACCATATGAATTTCGGGAGGACACTAACATTCAGTGTGTAGCAATCCTCCTTCCAAAAAATTTAGGCTATAAAACAATGCTTTATATCTGAACCAACTGAGGCTTTTTAAAATTAGCACATAGGAAAAAAATGCCACAAAGGGCCTCCACTGGTCATTCAGATACTTGATGTATAGACAGATCGGCCCACTTCCAAGAGAGCTGAAATTAGTCACCAGAACGAATTCAGAGTAATCCAGCTTGAAGAAACATGTTAGGCCATCAGTGATGTCTGATTGTGACTCATGCTGTGGTTGTCATTCTTATCCTTTAATGGGATCTGTGGGAATGGCAATCCTCCCAGCTTCCTAAGCAAGTGCTGGCGGGAAGTGCTATAATGGGAACTTGTTAAAATGTGAATTGCACAACAGCCTGCTGAAATGAAAAAAAAGGTAATTGCGAAGAAAGAATGGTATTACTAATTACTAGTTCATATCACTGCTGACAGAGTATTTCATGACACCACAGTCATAAAGCAGAAATAGAAAAAATTTGTAATATGCATAGAAATGATGCAGAAACCCAACAATAACGGGCAAGGTAGGATTTTACAAAAAAAAAAAAAATTTTTTTTTCAGTCAAGGGGTTTGAAAATGTAAATAGACAAAATGGAGGAAAAGTTTCCTCTTGTTAAGACTCCTTTACTGACATGGACTAACTTGCATCATGAATAAAATAGTCTAAGGCGGTCCTTTTCAGAAGGCAATAATGACACTATAGTTAAATAACAAATAACTGGGGACTTGCAATGGAAGCCCATTTTGCTGAAGCTGCCAAAAGGCTTAGGAGCTTTTAGAGGACAACTCGGGGAACTGGACCAGGGAAGACAGTCAAACAGAATTATTGTAGAGACATTGTTAAATGGCATAGACTAAAAACTTAAGACATATCTTAAGACGATGCTTTACAAAAGCTTTTTTCCTTTAGAGGGATCCATTCTTATAAATCTGGTTGTTTGAATAGAAAATTTCTTTGTTCAAGTTTCAATCCAAATGCAACTGCTCAGAAGAGTGGCATGAAGTCTTAGAAATAGTTTTTTAGACTAAAAAGAGGTGTGTGGGGAGAGTGAGATACAAAAACAAATACGAAACTGTGCAGGTGGCACAAATTATAAAAGTCAAACAAGGCAACTCATATGACTTATGGAATCAGTTTGCCTTCTCAGGATTTCTTTAATGAAAATCATATATACTCAAAGGCATAAAGTAAGGGAAGTTGAATATTTATTTTTACAATTTCAGTATTTCCATTATTTTCTAATTTAAGTTTAGTCCAGTGGGAGGTACAAGGAGGTTCTCGAAAACTGATGGCTTAAATTACTTTGTGTAAATTCAAACCTTGTTATTTTAGAACAACAAAATGCTCTAAGTCAGTGGTTCTCAGTCCTTGCTGCACAGCAGAATCACCTGGAGAGCCATCAAGGTACTGATGCCCATGTTCCACCCTAATCAGATGAATTAGAATCTCTGGAGGTGTGGCCCAGGCATCAGTATTTTTCAAGAGCTCCCAAGGTGATTCTCTTGTGAATCCATGACAGCGAACCATTACACTTCTAGATTTAAAATCATGTCATATTATAACTACTAACATTTATATTTTTCTAAATCCCAAACTGGTATCTGCACAATGCAGAGAACTAGGAAAAGTATGGGAAAGCACAATTTTAAAAAAATGATCTGAAATCCCACTACTCCTTTTTATGTTTATCATTTCTTTTTTCTATGAATATATATGAAAGAATAATATGCAAAATTCTGTTTTAAGAAACATTTTTAGAACTAGAAGTTACCCTTAGAAGTCATCTAGTATAAGTCCCTTATGTTATAGATGAAGAAATTAAGGTCGAGTTCCTAACTCAAAGTAACTTAGGTAGTTCATTTGGAGTCAGGATTAGAATTTAGGTTTCCCTTTAGTTGTCTTGCAAAACATAACTTGTGCAAAAACTTGAATCCTCAAAAGTTGAATGTCACCTGGAAACTCAATTTCCATAAAGGATCTATTATTTCTAATGAGATTCTATAATTGTAACAAACAAGCAGAGCTTTACGGGGAGTGCCTTCATCTTTCTCCTGAACAATTCTAGCATTCATACAGCAAGTTGCCTCCATCGTATTCTATGGGACACTGACTCTATTGGATGTTAATAGGTATGATAAGAAAAAAAAAACACAAACGGTTTCTTATTCAGGTAGACTGGGAAACAAAATTAAAGGAAAGTCTTTACTGAATCATTTCTCACGGCTTTAATGTTATACTAATAGCCCCCATTGAGAATCTCTGCGGTGTATGTGCAGAATATAATCTGCAGTATTTCTCAAATTTATTTGACCTTGGAACCCTTCCTAGGTTCAGTCCCAATAGCTTATGTTCTTTGGAACATGTTTTAGCAAATAATACTGAAGATTCCTAAGATAAAGGAAAAATGACCGGGAGCAACCTATTGAGGCCAAAGCAACTCTGATTTTGAGTTATGGTTTAAATTTTTTTATAGCAAGTAGGAGAGTACTTTAAAAGGGACGGAATATATGATTTGAATAATTGATGTTTTCAAAAGTGGTTCTTTAAAACGTATTAAAGAAGAGTAACAAGAATAGCTTGAAAATCAGACAAAACTGATGAAAACCATTACCCAGATACAATATATAACATTTTTTATGTATTTCCTTCTACTTTTTACATCTTATTTACATAAACCTAATTATAGTCACAGTTTTGTATTATATTTATTTTTAATTAATTTACTCACATTCACTAAACATTTATTCAATGCTTTATGTACAAAGCAATAGGCTGTGGAATTAAGCACAATTAACACACAGCTTCTACCTTCAAGGAATTTAGGGTAGGGTGTGGGGGGAGGGCGGCAAGGTAGAAATAAGCGTTCAGGGGATGTCAACAAACAATGCAATGTGGTTAAGTGCTATTATGCAGAATACAGTGGGCCAAAGAGGAATGCCAAACAGGGCCAGGGTCCTCGTGAAGCTTGAGATGAATCTCAGAGGTTCATGAGAGACAACGTGATAAAGGCAGAAAAGTAGAAAGAAGCAGGAAAGCAGTCTACAAGCTGGGTTTTCCTATGCTCAGACAGATACACGTACACTTTAAAATGGATTGGAAAGGGAAAAGCCTGTTTCATTCCTGCCTTATTCAAACAGTCCACTATGAACACATAATATTTCTAAAATCAGAAAACAAAGTGGGGTTGGAAATCTCCAGATCACCATCATATTCGAGCGTCCAAACTCTTTACTTGGCCCTTTTCAACCTTACATCCTAACCACAGTCACAGCACTTCTCCTCTCCCCCGACTCCCGCCATATCAAATAACTTGGAATCAAAGAAATTCGAACTAAAAAACAATACAGTACCATTTTCAAACTGGCAATTTAAGAAAATTATAAAGCTTATGGAATGTAAATGGGTGTAATTATCCTAGCGGGCATTTTAAATGAAAATTCCTTAAAAATGTGCATATTCTTTGATCCAGCAATTGCACTTCTAGATATTTAGGAAAATAAGACATACAAGGATGTTCACAGCAATAGTGGTTATAAAGGAGAAAAAAACAGGAAACAAATATCCAATAATAGGTTAAATTATTATATAGATAGACAACTGAATACAAAACCCAATCGCTACAAATAATATAGATTATTTAAAAACACATCATGCCATATGTGGCGGGCATTCATCCATTTAACCTCACAAGACTTGAAAGTAGGTAGATTATCCAACTTTTACGTATGAAGTTTACACACAAAGGATTTAACTTACCCAAGGTCACATAATTATTAAGTAATAAAGCCAGGATTCAAAAGGAGGCCATTTGAATCTCCAGCCCACGAACCTTGTCATGCCCACACTGCCTCTCAGCTTTTGAGCAGCACCGGACAGAACTATTTACCTCGCGGGATTACTGTGAGAATTAAATGAAGTAATAAACACAAAGCTCCTGGAACACGGTGGACATTCAACAGAAAGAAGCTACTAAATAACTCGCTCAAGATCACACAATCCTTGGGGAAGCCAGGATCTAAACAGAGATTTGAACCTTGCGTTCCCGTAAGCACACAGGAGCACAAGAAGCTTTTCTTGCTTCAACTCCTGACGCAGAGTCAGGACAGACTTTCCTTCTATCCCGTGGGGATAAAGTCAGGGAACACACAACTGGCCTCTTTAGAAAGGAGGGAAGCGCGCTGGAGTCGCTTCAGGAAGCTAACTCCCGTCTGCTCTTGCCTCCTCCTTGCTTCTCTAGCTCCAAGTACCCTCTCTTCCGTCCACCACCCGCCAATTTCCGGGGCGGAAGTGACGCATGCACAACGCGCCGGAAGTGGGCTTGCAGGGCGTCACCAAGAAGCTGCGGGCGCTGAGGGCTCGAGCCCCGGCTAAGCTGTAGAGTAAAGAGATTCGCCAGTTTCGTTCGTGGCCGTTGCAATGACGGCCCAGGGGAGCCTGGTGGCCAACCGAGGCCGGCGCTTCAAGTGGGCCATTGAGCTGAGCGGGCCTGGAGGAGGCAGCAGGTGAGGAGACTGGGCGAAGCTCGACAGCAGAGCCTTCACCCCAGATCTGCCCCAGAGGAATAGGACCTGAGCCCTCAGGAACAACTCTCTGAAAAGGATGGGTGGCACAAAGACGTCTCCTGGGTAGCCGGGGGCTTCTTTGCCGTGTCGGTTTCTGTGTCCGAAGGATGCTTATTTCAGTCCTCCCAATAGGCCAGGGTCTGACGAACCCACGAGAGGTTCTAATCTGGCTGGGCGCATCTGACGATCTTTATTGCTGATTAGTAGAACAGGAAATGTGGGATAGGAAGTGTGAGAGGCTGCAGCCTTAGTTTCTTGATTTGGTTCTTTAGGGGCCGAAGTGACCGGGGCGGTGGCCAGGGGGACTCGCTGTACCCAGTTGGTTACTTGGACAAGCAAGTGCCTGATACCAGCGTGCAAGAGACAGACCGGATCCTGGTGGAGAAGGTACAGAGGTATTGGTGTCACCGTCGTCCTTGGGCCAGTCCTGACCTACACATCCACCCTCCTCTCCCAGACAGCATATGAATATCTTACTATGGATGGCCCTTATCCCGAATATTTGGTAGCTAAGCTGCTTGAGATTAGTGTTACAGTCATTTACATATCAGCTCCCCAAAGGCTTAATGATTGGAAAAATAAAAGATGTTTGAACGTAAGGCATAAGAAAGTAGGTTGAAAATTATCTCTTGGTGCAACGCCTTCCCGTGGAAGTCATCCTTTTCCACTCTAGCTCTCTTGCCCCACACAACTAATCTGTCAGGATGTTCTATTGGCTTTACCTTCAAAATAGATTCAAATCGTACTACTTAACTTATTGCTCACTACTACTTACTACCTTCATCTATTGTCTTAGTCTAAGCCACTTCATATCCTACCACTTTCCACTTGTTTGCTCCACTCTCGTCAGAATGGCCTCCTTGCTCTCCTTAAATATGCTAGGCAAGCTTCCATCTCAGGCTTTTTGTATGTTCTTCCGTCTTCCTGGAATACTCTTCCCCCAAGATCCCCGTATGACTTGCTCTCTCACCTCCTTCAGGTCTCTCAAATGTTACCTTCTTAGTGAAGCCAACCCTCATGGCACCCTCTATCCTGTTTCCCTGCTTTATATTTCTCCCTAACATTCATATATATGATATAGTTTACTTATTTTATTACCTATCTGGCTTTTCGCTCTTGTAAGCTCCATGAGAGCAGAATTTTGTCTTCCAAGTGCCTAGAACAGTGCCTAGCACTTTCTTTCCTCTCAGCCTTAATATTGTTCAATACTAAATGATCTTTGTTTCATAAAATGCAGTGATTTTTTTAACATGAAAATGACAGAGCCATTATGAGTGCTTTTTTTTGATAATTATCAACCTATCATTTTTCATCTTGGTAGGTCAAAGTGTAATATGAATAATATGATAGTAAAGTCTTATTAAAGTGGCTTTATTTTAAAGGTACATTATCATAAAATACTTCTTTTAGAACAGTTTTGTTGTGTGGATGATTTGATTTTTAAACTCCCAGATAAATGGTCTTCTATGTAAATGACAAATTAGGGAACTGTTTATAAATATGGCCATTTATTCTTTTAACGTGAATAAACCCAAATGGATAGAGGTATATCATTCTTTTTCTATAGCTAGATTTACTTTGTTAATATTTTGTTGAGGATTTTTGCACTTAAGTTCATGAGTAACATCAGTCTATAAACTCTCCTTCTAATGTCCTCGTCAGGTTTTGGTATTTATGAGGCCCCCTGAGTTGTAGAATATTCATTTTTTTATTCTCTGAAAGAGTTTATATAAGATTGGCTTTATTTTTTCCTTCAATGTTTAGAATTTGCCAAAGGAAAGCATCTGAGCTTAATTACAGAATTAATTTCTCAAAGTTATAAGACTATTTAAATTTCCAATTTCTTATGCTATTTAGGTGTTGTATTTTTTCCAGGAATTTATCCATTTCCCAAAAGTCATAATATGATCACTTGAGTACCTGCAAGACCTATAGAGATGTCCCTTTTGTCATTCCTGATGAGTATTTATCTTCTGTCCTTTTGTCTTCATCAGACTCACCAGTATTGATTTTATTAATCTTTTCAACAAAACTCCTTTGGCTTTGTTGATTTAGAGAAAATTTCATTAATTTCTGCTCTCATTTTTGTTTCCTTTTCATTTCCTTGGGTTTATTCTAACTTCTTGAAATAGATGCTTAGATACTTTGGTCTTCTAATACGTATTTAAGGTTGTAAAGGTTATAAATTTCTCAAAGCTCTGTGTCCCACAAGTGTCAATGTGTGTTTTTTTGTTATCAGTTAATGATATTTCTATTTTCTTTTGTAATTTCTTCTTTGATTCTTGGGTTATTTAGAGTAATTTGTTAATTGCAACACATAGAGGATTTTCTAGTTACCTTTTTGTTACTGATTTCTGGCTTAATTGCCTTGTAGTCAAAGAACATGCTTTGTATGATTTGGGTTGAGAGTTATTGACACTTTCTTCATGGCTCAGCAAGTAGTGAGTTTTTGTAAATGTCCCATGTATGTTTGAAAAGAAGGTGAATTCCGCAACTGCTGGGTGTAATGTTCTATGTCAGTTGGGTTAAGTTTGTTAATAGTGTCATTCAAATCTTGTGTGTCTTGATTTGTCTGTTGTTCTCTTATTGAGGTATGTTAATCTACTATGTGGTTTTATCTGTTTCTTCAGACGTAGATGGGACAGTGATAGACACAGAAGTAGAAGAGCAAAAGTAGGGAAGTCGTTTTTTTTCCAGAGAAGTTTTGCCCTAAGCTAACATCTGTTGTCAGTCTTCTTCCTTTTTCCTTCCTTTTTACCCCTCGAAGCCCCAGTATGTAGTTGTGTATAGTTGCAAGTTCTTCTGGTTCTTCCATGTGAGCATGGCTACTGACAGGTGAGTGGTCTGGTTCCACACCTGGGAACCGAACCCAGGCCACCAAAGCAGAGTGCGCCACACTTTAACTGCTAGGCTGTCAGGGCTGGCTCGGGAAATCTTGTCTTTAGCCAAAATCATAGGGAAAAATGACATCTGGAAAACCCTTAGAGAAAAACAACAAATGGTGAGGATGCCTTATCTTTCTTTTGTAGAAAAAGCTTCAGGTGGTAACATGGGGAAGGGCAAAGGTGGTGGAATTGAGGAGTTAGCTCAGTCAGAAGCACAAATTTGGGAATTGTGTTCATTTGACATCAGTGATATGATAAATGTGGGGACTGAAGATAATAATCAGAGGTTAAAATTGTGTTTTAGCGCTGCTGGGACATCGCCTTGGGTCCCCTCAAACAGATTCCCATGAACCTCTTCATCATGTACATGGCAGGCAATACCATCTCCATCTTCCCTACTATGATGGTGTGCATGATGGCCTGGCGACCCATTCAGGCACTTATGGCCATTTCAGCCAGTAAGTATCTTTTTTATTATATTATTAAAGATTGGTACCTGAGCTAACATCTGTTGCCAATCTTTTATTTTTCCTTCTTCTTCTCCCCAAAGCTCCCCAGTATATAGTTGTAGATTCTAGTTGTGAGTGTATCTGGTTGGGGTATGTGGGATGCCACCTCAGCATGGCCTAACGAGTGGTGCCATGCGCCTGGGACCCACACCAGCTAACCCCTGGGCCACCAAAGCCAAGTGCATGAACATAACCACTCAGCCACAGGGCCGGCTCCCAGGATTCTTGAAATAACTTTTCCCTAAGTTTTAAGAATTAAAGCCAAATTCTTAGGCAAAACCTGTATTAGAAATCTTTGGCACAGCTTTTGGTTAGTTGCAGGGCGAGGGTATGCAGGGTGGTCATGGTAATGGTGGTGGCATGGAGGGGCAAGCAGTGCTTATCATGGTTTTTTGTTCACCTTTAATGATCTTATTTGCTCTCCTACTATGGGTCTGTCCATATTATTTATATTACTTTAATATATAGCCTGACTCATATTGAAAAAAAAAGTTGTTTTGGTTTTGACACTTTTCTCTTACTCCAACAGCTTTCAAGATGCTAGAAAGTTCAAGCCAGAAGTTTCTTCAGGGTTTGGTATATCTCATTGGGAACCTCATGGGTTTGGCATTGGCTGTTTATAAGTGCCAGTCAATGGGACTGTTGCCTACACATGCATCAGATTGGTTAGCCTTCATTGAGCCCCCAGAGGTAAGGCAAAAGAAAAGTTAAATTTTGGGCAGTTGTAATATACAGTAAATAGCAGGCCCATTTGATGGTGGAGGATGAGGGTTGGTATTAGAGATCCTTTCTTAAGAAATAAGAACTGTTAGGAGTTTGGAAGTTATTTTTTAAGGATAAAGCAAAATACATCTTGTGATTAAAGTACTAAGTACTTGATTCAAGAAGTTATTTCCACACTCATTCACCACTCACCTTTCTCTTGTTTCAGAGGATGGAGTTCAGTGGCGGAGGACTACTTTTGTGAACCTGAGAAAGAAGCACTTGGTGCCTGTATGTCTCATTTACAACCTTCTTTATGCCCAGTGGGCTCCTCCTCAGCATACTAACCCTTAACATTATCACTGATGCTGAAAAGAACCAAAAGCTCTCTTTTCTCCATGGTGAGGAGACAAATCCTGGAAAGACAATGTACATATCACTACAAACACAAAGAAACTATACCACAACCCTTGACCGAAAATAATGTAGAAAACTTTATTTATGTTTCCAGTACAGAGCAAAACAACAAATAAAACCACAACTCTATGTAAACAAAAGAATGGTTGCTGCTAAATCAAGATTTACAGCAGCATCTCCTCTCAATAAATTAAATGGAGAATAATGCTTAAAAAAAAAGTTGTACAAGTTTCCCTTAAATCTATTTTTCCTTAATATTTCACTTCTATTTTACATAAGCTGGGACATAAAAATTCTGTTGGAGACACTTGTGGAAGATGTGAGAAACTAATGCTGGATTCAGATTATACATGATGAAAAGAAAAATAAACCAGACAAAAAGAGCACAAAAATAGGCTTACAGCGTAACTGCTACTTTAATATCCACAATAATGGATTTTTAACACATTTAGGGGGAATGAAGATTGGTGGGATTGTTGGGACCACAGGAATCTGAGGCAACGGAAGATACAAAGTGATCTTTCCCCTGCCAAGAGGAACCTGGCACCTGTCAAACAGATGCTGCACAATCCAAACGTCAGCTTTTAAGATAGCTATAGAAGGCAGAGGTCCAGCAGTTAGAGAATGGATATTATTATAACCTGCCCTGGTAAAGTCATAGCCAAGACTTAAAAGCTAGATCTTATTCAAAAGGCAGGAGGAAGTCTTTCCTTTCTCTTCCCTCTTGAAACACAAAGCCCCTTCCCCTAAGGTGCATTCTGTCTCAGGTTTTCGGTATTGCTTTATTTGCAGTGATTAAGAGACAAGACATTTTAAAGACAGACATAAGCAACACAAACATGAAATGCTCAGGACAAAGATGACTTTAAGTCTGGCCTAACAACCATTTTCCCAATGTAATGGTGATTTTGTGTTTTAGGGGCTGAAGTAGTGGCTCTCTTAGTAGCCACTAATTCTTTTATCCCTTTAAAGGATTCTTACAGAGCTCCTACCACAAAAAGCTCTTGTAAAACTAACTTTATTTTCTGCTCATATTTTTTCTATATGGAGGAAAATGTACATATAATTATCACTTGGGCCAGAGGGTGTGTGTGAATGTAGAGGAATTCCTGGGCAGGCTGACCTTTAGAGCATGGGTCTTTGATATCTTGGGTCATAGGGGACCGGTCCCACTACTGCTGGTCAACTAAGCAATGGAGTGTTGCAATAGAAGTTGTAAACAATGCTTCTACCTTCTGCAGGAAGGAGCAGGAAAAAAAGACTGACAGATCTTGTCTGCTTTGCTACCCTGACTGAGCCTGGAAGTTGAAAGAAGAGCAAAATCAAAATAACTCAATTTCTTAAGCCATATTTCTCCTTTGTCCATAAGGGTCAAATGAACAGTCTGCTGGCACATAGGTCAGCTTGCCCCATATCCTGTTGGGTAATCAAAAAAGAGTGGCACTATTTATAAATAATATAGTGAAATTGAAAAGCAGCCATGAATACAGGCAAGATAGTTTTTCTATATAGCTATCCTGTAAAAGAAAGATTTCATATCTTTGAAATTACCACTCTGCCACACAGGGTAGTTTTCCCTATGCTTGAAAGCCAGGTGTTTTGTAATCAGTAAATTAGTAAATAAAAAGCTAAGCTTGCACAAGTATTTCCTTGACACATTTAGAGCTTTCAGAAAACAAAACTGAAACAGCAGAAGTCTATTGGCTTGGATAATTTCTTAGTTCAGAGCCAAGCTTCTGCAGGCAGAATGAAGAATGAAATTGAAGGAAAAAGAAAAATGCTCATACTCTGGGCATTTAGGTGGGTGCCTCAAGTCTTTGCTATGGCTTTGGAAACGAGTCCACAGGTTTCTTAGTGAAAGAAAACTTTCTTGAATTAGGACAATGCCAACTGTATGCCACTTAGTTAAGTGACATAGTTAAGGAGAGTAGCAGCAGCTCAGTAACTTTGGCACTCTGGAAGGAATATGGCTCTAGAACTTTGAATTCCATTGCTGGATTCTCCCTTTAAAAGACAGTCTAAAGCTCTTAGGGAAGGATTTTAGCCAGTCTTCCTAGTGTTTGTTCCTATGATTTTGGACTTGTGCCTACAAACCCAGAGGGCATTAAAAGGGAGAAGGAAAGGAGAACCTATTGGTCACTGTGCACCAGCATCTGTTTTTCTTAAGTAACAGCTTGTATGTTTTGCCCATGTCACATAGGTAACCACAGACTGTATTTCAGTAAATCTTAATAGCTACTTTTTGGAGTTCCCTTAGTTTGGCCATTTGAAAAGAACCTGAAAGAAATTATTTTTACTCCACCTTTTAAAAAATAATTTCCATGGTAACACTGTCTATGTTACAATCTTAACCACAGAATGGGTTTTGAGAAACAGCTGAAATATACACCACACAATATGTGTACTTAAACCTGGTATTTTGGGGGAATCTTGTTTTGGAGGAAGAAGTAGAGGCTGCAGCCATGTTTTAGTTTTTTATATTAGTACCCTAATATAAAATTAGAGCTCTAGAGAGCAGTGGATGCACTAAAGAAAATTAGCTAAAAAAGTTTTTCATCTTGGCTTGCCACAGGTTACCTCCATAAGAATGCTAGGTCCCCTATACTTGGTCATGAGTTATGATGAGGCTGTGTCTCTGGCTGTCACCCCCATGGTGTCATTATTGAATCATGACTTCTGAGACTCATCTTTAATGCTGGATATGTACTTGCTTTTTGTCTTGAGTTGAATTTCTAGCATCCCTTTTGCCAATTCATTTTATTGATTTAGCTAGTTAATCCTAACTTGCCTTCAACTGGTACAGACATGGCTTTTAGGACCTGACCATTGTTCTGATGTTGAGGGAATATTTGCTTCTGTAAGGACAGCAGATCATGTGGTAGCAAAGAGCAGATCTATTTGTACTTTTTTGCACAAGTACTTGAGGCTCAGCTTGTCAAGAGTTCGGTGTGATGTATACAGAACACAGGCCTCTAGTTGATGGGAGTGGTGGTAAAGAGCTGGCTCTTCCATGGAGGTTAGAAGCCTTTTAGGAAAGGTGAGGTCATGTAAAGTCATTCAGGAGTAGATTAGGAATAAATGGTGATCACTTCACTGCCACCACCTCGGACAAGGAGGACTCGCTCTAGTCCCTCAGTGAGCACTTCTAGGAACTCCATGTCTTCAGAATTTGTCAAGGATACAAACAGGTAGGAGAAGAGCATACTTTAGAACCTGGCATCATGATAATCTGAGTTTATCTTACTGTAAAGCTGCAAAATCAACATGCTTAATTATTATATACTCAGAACTGGAGAAGTCTGAACTCTGTGTTAAATTCAATTTAACCCTGTGAAGTAATCCAGGGATCTAGTACTTTTGCATATATGACTCCTTTCTCGTTTGTCAGATTTTTTTCTAAATGTTATAACAAAATAGGGGAAACCTACAAGTAATGTGTTATCTCTACATAGTAAAATAAGCCAAAAAAAAAAAAGAAAAAGCCACAACACGGCAGCTTGTAAGAGTCCGAGAGAGAACCCAAGTAATAAATAAGTGAAGCTGCTCAAGTCAGATTTTTCTTTTTTCTTTTAACCTCTTTTCTTTAATGGTACTGGTGGGAATAGGCCAGTCTACACCACTGCAGTGCTTAAAGGGTCCCATAAAAAGAATCCTGGGAACAGGGTATGAGGAAGAAACCTTATCTCTTTTTTTCCCCTCAGTTAGAGGAGCTTCCATTTCAACTGCTTCTCCTCTAACTCCATCCAAAAGAAAGAGGCTTTGCAAAGTGGGTAGAGCCTGAAAAGGAGAAAGAATGTGGGTATTTTGTCTCTAGGATTGTCATAAAGGGTTCCATATACTGAATATTAGAAGTCATGTTGCAAATGTACCACCCAAAAAGTCTCTTTAGGATTCAGAGAAAACATATTACACCCCCAACTCCCCACAAGGAGATTAATTTCACTATTCTGTAAGAATCTTTGCCTAAGACTTTTAACAGTCTTTCCTCTTCAAGAGGGAAAGGGGGCAGAGACAGTGACTTTTACAGTTATCCAGTGGTCTCATCCAAGAAACTGACTAAGATTTCCCCTACTGGTAGCTCCACTCTTGGAAAGGATACAGTTCTCATCACCCTCAGGGTTTCGAGGTGGCCCTGGCATATTCAACAAAACCAGCTTTGCTTCATGGGACTTGTTAACTATAACCTCGTTGAGCTTCACTGCTGTATGCATCCGCCTCACATTGGACTGGTCCCTGTCGGGGAGAGAAATAGAGGTGTTTAAGGCAAAGAGAAAACCAGGCATAGAGTCAACCTTAAAAAACTTGAGATAGAGAGTTTTGCTTTGAATATGAATAATGTAATGAACAAATTATTTCCTTGTAATATTAACATCCTGGGTTTTCTCACTCTACAATTTCTCATTGTTTTATACCAGGAACACAGTATGGAGAGGAAGGATGGTTAGTTCGTGTTGAATGCTAATTGGTAGCTGATATGCATAAGCAAACATAGAAAGGTGGCCGGATTTGGGGTGAAATGAAGAACAGACTCCATCCTGTGTATCCAGGCAAAGTCACATTTGTGGCACCGACCAGGATACTATGTTATATGATAAGCTTGTGAGTTGGAAAACTTACGGACGCATGTTAAGCAGTTCCTGGAATCCTTCCATTGACTTAGCCTTTTGCCCCCGGGATGCCATGTACTTGTCTTTCGTCCAAGTCATGTGCACCTTCTCCTGATAGGTTTCTGTCTCCTCATCCTCATCAGAGCCAATGCTGGTCAATCGTAGCATTGAGTTCCGATCTTTCACCAACTGTGCCTGAGGAAGGCCCAATACATGCTATGACTCTATACCCAATTTTCTCTCATGCTTCATCTTTAATTATTTTGAAACAATAATGTGGTTATAGTGGAATAACTGATAAAGCAAGAAGGAAAGTATCTGTCATCTATGAGAACAATACAGTATCATTGCTTTCAGTGACAGACTTCATAGGGCTAGGATTAGATCAATGCAGTAAGGTCTCACCTCTCTGTCCCGCTCTGTTTTGGATAGTCGCATTTGCCGGAGCATCTGGGACCTTTGTTCCATCATCAGGGTGCGCTCATAAGTATAAGCTGATATGTCACTGTCGTGCTGCCGAAGATGATATGCAGAGTGGGCAATAAGCACAAAGGAGAAAGGATAAACCATACATTTTCATTTCCACTCACTAAATTAAACCAGAGAAAGTACCACAATATCAACCTAAGTTTCACTCCTATTTTATTTAGTCGTTGAGCTACATAAATACGATACTGTGGATTGTAGGTCAAATCCAGAAGCCCTGAGAGTCTTTTTCATAATCTAACCATTACGTATGTGTTTCCTTGAATCACAAAACACAAACTCTAGTCTCTCTCTTTTTTTAATACTGCCAGGTTATTGAAAAAACAAAAAAAAGCTATATGTGATTTTAGCATGAATATTAAGCAGGAAAAAATCTGGCAGAAATATAAGGGCTGTGTAAAAAACAAACAAGAAAGCAAAATTAAAAACCACCACCAAATACTCATCATATACACATTCTACTCATCTAGATCAGTATGGTACGGTTTTGTTGGAAATAACGGATTAATCCACATTTGCAGCTGAAGAATTTCCCAAACCAGAAAAGGGTCTAGGAAGACAGGGTGGAGGGAGGTGTGGTCTCCTTGATCTCAAACTCAGCTTTCTCACCATTTCCACCACTTCCACCTCTGCCTCAATGCGCAGGTGATAGAGGAAGGTGGCCAGGTCCTTCTTCATCTGAATACTATTGTCTTCCAGTTGGGCTACTGTGAAGATCCGTATGCTGCATTTTCGCCACACCTGAGAAAGTACCATACATTCATGGAAAATTAGATGCAAGGAGGCAAAAGAGAGTTATTTCCTAAAACACAAGGCATTTTTGCCTAAAGCAATCTTGCTATATTATCCGGGTATTTCTTCCTAGCTTCCTGCTTTTTATATTATATTATTTACTAGGGCAAAAGCATGATTTAAAAAACACATTAAATACAGTTTTTAAGGAGTTTTTAATTTCATAACAAAAAATGGGAAAAAGGGCAAGATGGCATGTTATACGTTAAGAGGGTGCTTTATGCAGATAGCATATCGATGACAGCCTGCAGACTATAATGTTTGCTATTTTAAATTTCAGTTTAGTTAGTCTTACCAAAGGATGAACATACATATGTGTAAGATACATACCCTTAGGTTTCCAGTGTTTGAGAGACTTTGGTCTTTTTTTTTTTAAAGGATGTGTTCACTTGTTAATATTTTTTCCAAGGGCTCATATAGAACTTTATTAATTTGCTGAATTTCACCTGGAGATAGGTAGGTATCAACTACAAAGAAAACTATTTCTCATAAGGTTGAAACTGAGATCACTGAAGAGCCAAGAATAATCCCCAACTCTTCTGATTCTAAGCCCCAACACTACAGAATCAAAGAGGAAGAATTTGTCTAGTCAACCAGGACAGACATTAAGGGGGAAAGACTTTTTGAAATAGATGTCTAAAATACCTTGTGCTGTTTAAGTAGAAATGGTAATAACATGAGCATCCCCCCATCGTGCACAATCCACCACACATCAATGTTGCCCTCAGAAAACTGCTCCAAATTGCTGGGAAAGAAGGAGATGTTTTTAGCCACTAGCAGGGCCAGATGGGCAGCAGTTGTCACTCGAACTGTGCCTAAGGAGAAAACAGAATCAGGATAAGCAGAGAAGAATCCTTAGGCTTGCCTTACTTCCTACCATGTCAGGAAAGCAAGGATAACACTCTTCTACATTTCTTTGAGCAAAGTGTCCTATTACACCGTAGGTTACATCAAGTAACAAAAATCATTGAGAAAAACCAATAGTTAACAGAATTAGATCGAGAACCATGATTTACATTACTAGATATATTCTGATTACTACATTTCTGAGGGGAGGATATATGAATTTGGGAGATTTTGATGCTGAAGGACAATCCTTCCAATTCCTATACAGATGTCAATGTGGGAGACCACAAATGAAGACATGGCAATTTCAGTGATAACTCCTCACGTAGGACTTGACGGAGACAAACAATTTATGGACATAATGTATAGCTGGAGGGGTGAGCAGAATCAGGTTATGACTACCAGTTATAAGACCATGCTTCAGCAATGGCATAGTCTCTATTTTAGGAGGCTAGGGGGTGGGGTTAGGGTGACAGAGATTTAACTATATCCCTTATTTGGGCCCTCAGGATAATATGAAAAGTGTTTTTGTACCAATAAAAGTCTTCCAAGCTCGAGCATCTTCACTCTGGCGCCAGCCATTAGGCCATCCCATCACCACTGTGTTATGCTTCATGCCCCCAAGGCCACATGACTGGATGAGGTGGGAAATGCCCTCTCTCAGCTTGGCGGCCACCACCAACTGGCAGAATCCTTTCACTTTCTCTCCCTCCATTAGGTGCTTTATGGTCTGAAAGAGAGCAGAACCTCACACTGAACTGTTTCATACTGGACCTTTTAACCTATTCCTCCATCCCTATAATACATTCTCATCCTCTTTCCAAACTCTGCATAAAACCCTATCTCCTAAAGAAAAGTTCAAACAGTTAAAATTTTCCCAGTGAAATGGCATTATCCCTTGTCTTTTTTGCTTTCTAAGTACTTACAACATAGACAGTTGGGGGTCTATGTGTAGTTCCTCTGCCTTTTCCTCTCTTCTGCTTTTCTTTCCTTGTAACATACCAAAAAAACTGAGAGCAGGGACCTTCCTTAAGGGGCTACTCAATATTTCTTTCTTCATTGACCAAAGGTGAACATGACCTCCTGCCTTCCTTAGTCCCAGGCATGCCCAGACTTCTAGTGCTAGAAATTCAATCTATGATTCAGTTTCACTTTAGAATTTTCTCAGTATGTTTTTCTTTTTTGTTTCTCCTATTTCCATATCCTTTTTGATATTTAGTGATTATTGATGACACTTGTATTTGATTTACTATTCTTTCATTTATTCAGGCCAATTTGGAGATAATATTTCATTTACTCTTACTCCACCCTCTTGGGAAATGATGTGGAAAATGGGTATGATTTTCCCAAAGGCACAGATTAAGTCAGTGGCACAGGTAGGATAATAAGTGAGGTCTCTTGATTTCCAATCCTGAGCTTTTTATTTATGTTTATCATTATTCTGGACTAATGTTTCTTCAGCATTTCTAGTTTTTAGGGTTTCAAAGCATTTCAAAATGCAATCCAGTAAAAATTTTGAAACGTAATTGAAAATTTCTCTAAACAACAGGGTTAGTTCTGTCATTTATAATAAGTATTAGAGTGAAAACTACTTTCTTCTTCATGGAGAACTTTAATATTCAGTAAGCTAATCAGAAATAGCGAAGGAATCTTGCTCACGATACCACATAGATTAGTAAAGAGGAAGAAAAGTTGCTCATTGCTCCTTGTCACAAGATTGAGAGGAACCATCTCCACAGCTCGAGGGACGGATCTGTGTACGTGACTTCTCTCATGGCTGAGTAAATGTTTAGAGTCAATTTGGAAATAATGCTTAGCCTTGATTATCTTATAGTTTAGAAATGCTTTTTAAATGAAAGAAGGAATAAATTACCATCTTCTGGTTCCTCTTATTATTTTGGAAAATATGACTGTTCAAAAGCCAGCACTAAGAAGGAAACCTCCTACGTCACTCAGGAAAGGGATTAACTTAGAAATCTGAGGTCTTACTCTTTAACATCACAAAACCATAAGCTAAATTCCACTAAGCCAATAAGCCTTGACTCTTACCTGCTCAGCAGCTAAAGCTTCACCATAGTTTTCCAGGAAGTTCCCCACGATGACAGAGCCCACGATAGTAAGACCCTTTCCTGCTTTAAGCTGTGAAGCAAAGGTGAGGAGGCGAGGATGCTTGACGTGTAAGTCTTCATCCAGTTTCAGTAATACAAGCAACTGAGGCCTGTAAAGAGGTTGGCAGGGGAGGAGGGGAGAAAACACTGTGGGTCTGGTGAAAAGAATCACAATTCTACCCTTTAGTTCAGGGACTCTGGAAAAAACATGACCCGACAGAAGGAGGAGATTAGAGGAAATGATAGGATGAGAGGATAGAGTTATTTTGAATCTTCCCAATATTATCTCAAATTGATTAATCTTCAGTGAGGAATAAAAATGGTAGAAGTCTAGATCATATATCACATGAAGAAAAGGGAATAAAGGATCAAGGATTTGAGACCATTCGAAGCAGGTCCGTTACACCAATTCCGGAGCCACGAGATCTCCTTATCCTGTAATCAATGAAGCACACATTTCTGTGTGTCAACTATGTGCCAACCACCACTAAGCTTGGTAGATTTCTTTACCTCCAGTTTTTAGTGTGTGGAGGTCCTTCCTCCAGCCGAAGCAAAGCAAACCGGGCTGCACTTAGGGACAGACCACGGATACCGTCACCCCATTCTTTCTCAGCTCTGTGACAAAAGGAGAAAAGAGCAGACACAGATTTAAACTATAGAAAGTACAATTACAAAAAAGAAAGTTTATTTTTTCTTTACCTAAAAGTAACATATGCACAAGGTAGAAAATTAAAACTCATATTAATTATTTATATAATCCTCTTTCCTAACATAATGAACCCGCTGTAAGCAGAAGAGACTGCACTGCACAACAGTTCAGAATAAAGCCTGGAACAGTCACTTACTCATCATTCTATGTAACTACTCAAAAGCAATAAAGCAAAATAGCAATTTGGATTAGGAAATTACTGCAGATCCAAAGTTTAAGTTATTTTGAAAAAGATGGGGAGAAAGTAAAACAATGTAATCTTCTGAATCAGAATGTTATTTATTCCTAATTTTTGGAGGTTGTTGGTGATGTCTTAGTTGTTAAAAAGTTATTCAGGACTAAATGTCATTTTGGAGACAATCTCTTGACTGAAGAGATAAGCAAAAATATTTATATTTGTGTTATACTTTGTTTAATACTCATCATTTTAGTAATTTTCTCATTGATCTGTTCATACTTTCTTGACAGGTTCCCCTTGTGATTAAAAGCTTTTGTCTGTAAGAAGGTTAAGAGAATTAGGGCCTGTGCAAAACTTAGTACAAATGAATGAAGTTATCTGGATCCTTCATGCAATTTTTATTGGGCTGGCTCTAACAAAAACTAGCCAGTTTTGATACTTTTAGCAGAGATCAAGGTCATTTCCACAGACTCACCCTTGGTACTCGATGTACTTGTAGATCATACCAGCTATTACCATAGCTACGATGGCATAATACCAGGAAGAAATGAACATCAGAGCCAGACAGATACTCATTCCCATGAAAGAGAGGGCCCTGGAAAATTAAAAACAAAAACACAAACAGAAAAATGTTTTTCTAAGCAGCTAAAAAAGAAGTCTGGGAGCTGGTCCCGTGGCTGAGTGGTTAAGTTCACACCCTCCACATTGGTGGAACAGGGTTTTATGGGTTCGGATCCTGGGCGCGGACATGGCACCACTCCTTAGGCCACGCTGAGGTGGCGTCCCACATGCCACAACTAGAAGGACCCACAACTAAAATATACAACTGTGTACTGGGGGGATTTGGGGAGAAAAAGCAGAAAAAAAAATATATTGGCAACAGTTGTTAGCTCAGGTGCCAATCTTTAAAAAAAATAATAAAAAGAAGTCTGTGCTAGAGGTGCTTCTTAACCTGGTGAGGGATTTTTTTTTTTTTTTTTTAAAGATTTTATTTTTTTCCTTTTTCTCCCCAAAGCCCCCCTGGTACATAGTTGTATATTCTTCGTTGTGGGTCTTTCTAGTTGTGGTATGTGGGACGCCGCCTCAGCGTGGTTTGATGAGCAGTGTCATGTCCGTGCCCAGGATTCGAACCAACGAAACACTGGGCCGCCTGCAGCGGAGCGCGCGAACTTAACCACTCGGCCATGGGGCCAGCCCCGTGGTGAGAGATTTTTTTAAAAAAAATTCCAATATATTGCAGACAGAACTTTTGTAAAATACAATAAAAATGAGTTATTAGAGGGAGCCGGCCTGGTGGCACAGTGATTAAGTTTACATGCTCTGCTTCTGTGGCCCAGGGTTCACTGGTTCAGATCCCAGGTGCGGACCTATGCACTGCTTATCAAGCCACGCTGTGATAGGCGTCTCACATATAAAGTAGAGGAAGATGTGCATGGATGTTAGCTCAGGGCTAATCTTTCTCAAAAAAAAAAAGTTATTAGAAAAATAACTATACGCTGGATGCTATGATGATGCCAAATTGCTCTAAAAGTTCCTAAATGCTCATTCTCCATCTCTACAGCCGTCTTATCATGGACTGGCAGCAGTTGGTAGATCTTCACTGAGCCCCACACCATCCTTGTGCTGACATTTCCCATTGCTGGAAAAACATATAAATGAATAAGGATGTTATGAAAATTATCTGTAGTCATGAGGACAATTATTACTTACTTTGCAAAGCAGGAATGGGACATGTAGTCAGAATTATTAAGAACTCTATGATCTTTAAGAAGTATTTCATGTAAATATTGCTAAAAATTTTATGAACATTTATTAGTGTAACTACAGAATCTACTGAAAAAAATTTGCCATTAGTTTTCTTACTTTACATTAAGAGAAATTTGGCAGAGAATAATAGATTGCTTGTTTTTATTTTGATCAAATAAATTAGGAAGACAACTACATCTACTGAAGCTCTTCTGTGTACAGAATGAGCTTCTTTGCTCTGTGATGAATTTTAAAGAATGAACAGGAGATTTGTTAATCAGGAGATTAGGATCTATTGAAAACATAAGGTAAAGAGAAAAAAATAACACAGGCAAAACAGTAACACAAAAAGAGTTCATAATAAACCTTTAAAGTTAAAGCTAGAAAGAAGATTACAGGTATTAAGATGAGTTGAAGATCTAAATTTTTGCCAGATAAAGGTCACATCACTGCCCACCACTGATTAAGTGAAGCCAGAAAGGGGTCAAGGAGAAAGTCAGCAAAGACGAATCTGGCAACAGGTACATACAGGACATATTAAAGAACTTTTGGCCATGAGAGAAAAGAAACCGGAAAGAGATGGGATGGTAGCTAAAAATGTGGTGGCTCCTTTAGGACTGAGGAGATGAACATAATAGCAGCAGCTGTAGCAACGGTTGATGGAGAACTTTACTATGTACCAGGTGCTGCGTTAAGCACTTTAGACTATCTCAAAACAACCCTATGAGATAGGTAATACTATTAGTCTCATTTTACAAATGAGTAAAATGAAATTTTACGTGGTTATGTGCTTCGTTTGAAGGTTACAAAGCTAGGAAACAGTAGAGCTGACATACGAATTTAGGTCATCTGACACTAAAACTCACACTCTTAACTACTAAATTAAACTGTCATAAGGAAGAGAGTTTGAGAATGAAAACCCATAAGAATATGAGAGTAAAGAGAGAAACTGATCAAGTACAGTATTTAGCTAAGAGGGAAACAGATATGTAAAGGGAAGGTTGTTTTTTCCTGAAGAATGTTATTTCATAGTTTTGGATCTTTATTCTCAGGTGGGTGTTTATCAGTTATTAAAAAGCAATATAGAAACAAACATGGTAGTAGGTTGGGAATTCAGATGAGCACTGAAAGTTGAAACAGACAGTATGGAATGGCTGGCCAATAAAAAAATTGAATCAAGAATCCAGAATCTCTGAGTTTTCTAGTTCAATGATGAATTCTCTCCAAATGTGGGGAAAAAGATGAAGAAAAAAGCACTTACCAGTGGTAATAGCGGAACCGGGGTCTCCAGTTGGGTGTTCGAAGTAATGTCTGCAAGGCACATGCCAAGTTCACAAAGAGGTAACACATAAGAAAAAACCTGACACGATAAAAGTAAGAAAATGATTACTATTGTAAAATGATTCTTCAAGGGCTATGTTAAATAACTGAAGACCTTTGCTGTATTTAAGCCTTTGTTCCAGCCCACTAGCTTTTAATTAAGACTAAGAAGTAGAGAAACTTAAGCTTCTCTCTACAAACCTGCGCATCCTTCTATGTCTTTTTCTCAGTGAACGACACAACCACTACTCAGTTGTTCTTGGGATAATCCAAGTTCCTTCTCTGTTATTCATCCTTGTTCCAAATTTGTGTATCAAGTCCCAAAGATTCTACATATTTAAAAATCTCTAAACCTTCCTCCTTTCCATCTCTACCGCTATCACCTCAGTTCAAGCTCTCACTTCTGTTTTGCTAGATTAGTTGAATAAGGTTCAGATTGGCATTCACAGCTCAATGTCAGCCTCCTTCTAATCTACCTTTTATACCAAATTGATCATTCTAAAACATAAACCTCATCATTTTGTTCTCAAAGGATTACCCACTACTTTCAGGAAAAAGTTGCAGGTCCTTTGTGATCTGGCTCAATCTACTTCTCTGCTCTGCTCCTCCCCAACATGCACCCTCCATTCTATCAAAGCCAAACTATTTTCACTTCTCTGGATGTGCTGCATTATTTCATCCCTCAATTCCTTCACACACATTCCCTTCCTGGAATACCTTTCACCTCTTCGTTGGTTAGCAAAAACTAGTCTTCCTTCAAGATACAAGTATCATTTCCTCCAGAAAACCCTCCTTGAGTCTCAGTCCATTTAGATGCCTCACTTTAGAGTTCTTACAGCGCTCAGTGTTTCCCTTCACCACAGTACTCATCACACTCTACAGGGACCAGTGCTTTCTTTATCTACCATATTCCTTAAGATTATGTCTTCTTCATCTTTGTATTCCCAGCATACTGCCCAGTGCCAGGTAGGTAGTATATCATCAATAGGTCACAGGTGAATGAATAAAAGCTAACAGTAGAAGTAAAAGCTACAACCAACTGATAATGAATCAGAAATAAAAGCGAAGAACTTCTGAAGTTATAGAGGCAGGAAGAAACCACAACAACTTATAAAAGTTAGTCTTATATGAAACTTCTCAGGAATAGTTATTACACCTGTACTTGGCTCACTCTGCTATCAGTACTGTTATATGCCTGACGGAAATCAACATGTCTTATACATCACATAAGCAAGAATAAGTAAAGAGAATTACTGGCTCTTACATGGAAAGAATTGGGGCCACAAGATCCAGGGAGGCGATAAGGATTCCCAGCTCTGCAATGGCAGCAGTTAGAAGTAAAGCCCAGGTAGGTTCGCCATTGGCTTTGCTGTGACCAAAAACCTGTACACAGAAAGGAGTGTGGGGAGTGTTTGACAAAGTTCTCTGATTCCTCTATGCTACAGTTTCAGATATCTGAAAGATAATAGTGTTACAACTGTAATATCTTTTAAATACCCTATTCACATATAAACTCATACTAGGGATTTAGAGGGTTCTAAAATCCCACGTCTTCATTATCATATGATCTAGTAACTCCTAAGCCTATGAAGGCCACACTGTTTCTCATAAGACCTGGAGAAAAAGTAAGAGGGCATAGGGAGGTCACTCACCCTGAGAAAGGGTATGATGTTATCCTTGGCTATAGCCTGCAGTAGCCTCGGTGCACCTGTGAGACTCTGAAGTCCAGCCCCACATGTTGAGAAGAAGGAGCCAATAACAATCACCCACGGGGATGGCCAAGATAAGGTACCCACCACCAGATTACCTTTCACAGCATCCCCAAACCTGGGCAAGAAAGAAAGAGTGGGGAAATTTAATCTGGAAATAACTTTAGACTGAAAGACTAGAGATACATTCACCCAATTTTTTCTATTTATAATTTTTAGAGAATCAAAATTGAGACAAACATGAATAAGAAACATAAAGGTAGGCAGATTTGATCAAAAGGCATTGGGGGGGGGCTGGCCCCATGGCCTAGTGATTAAGCTCAGCGTGCTCTGCTTCAGTGGCCTGGGTTTGAGGGTTCCGTTCCTGGGTGCAGACCTATACCACTCGTTAGCCATGCTGTGATGGCAACAAACACACAGAGTAGAGGAAGACTGGCACAAATGTTAGCTAGGGCTAATTTTCCTTAAGCCAAAAAAAAAAAAAAAAGGAGGATGATTGCCAACAGATGCTACTGCTCAGGGCTAATCTTCCTCAGCAAACAAACAAAAAAGGTACTGTTAACCTATACCAAGAACAACCAACCTGTAGGGCCAGAAAATAAGCTAGGCTTCAATTATAACTCTTCCCTTCAAATTATCAAAATATCTGCTCTTTGCAGAAAAGTACACAAAAATACAAAATAGCAGGGAGAAAAATCTGTAATCATAATATAACTGCAAACATTTAGCATACTTTGCATATTTTAGTCTTTTTACTGTCTTTTAAAATGTAGGTGAGATCACACTGCACCTACAATTCTGTATTCTTTTAAAACTTATGAGTATTTTCCTACATCATGGAAAACTCTTTATGAATAAGAATCTTTAAGAGTTTTAATAATATTGTATCATAAGTCACATTACCCATTCCTCTAGTGTTGATTTTCTACTATTAAAAACACTGTGATTCATAGTACCATGCATGTACTGACATTTACACATCAGATAGTTTTATGGCAGATTCCTAACAGGGAATAACTTCAACAAAAGAGATCAAGATCTTAAAATATTCCCAAATCACTACCAAATGGCTTTCCAGAAAGGTTATACCAATTTTTATTCCCACAAGAGGTATATGAAGGTTCAAGTCTTACGGTACATACCTACTTCACACCAGCCTTGAGTACTAAAAATTAAAAATCATTGCTTATTTGATGGGTGAAACATGGCATCTCACTGGTTCATTATTTATGGTTTTAACAGTTTATTAAATCACATAAAAAGTAACATGCAAAAACAAATATACATTTAGATAAATTTTCACAAAGCAAACATCCATGTAACTACCATCCAGTCAAGAAACAGAACACTGCCAGCACTGAAAAGCCTCTTATGCCCATTCCCAATCACTAGCCTCTTCTTTCTCCCCACTATTCTGACTTTTAATACTATGTAGTTTTATGTTTTTAAACTTTAAATGAATGAAACAGTATTTATGTTTTATGTTTGGTTTCTTTCACTTGACATTGTGAAATTAACCCTCTTTTGAATATAGCTGTGGTTCATTTATTTTCATTGCTATATGGTTTTCCATTGCATGAATACATAATTTATCCATTCTACTGTTGATGGACATTAAACTACTTCCAGGTTTTGACTATTAAGAATAATACTGCTTGTGAGAATTCTTGGGCATGATTCTTAATGCATATGTGCATGCATGTCTGTTGGATATATCTATCAGTAGAATGGGTGGGTCATTAGTTATGTGCATGTTCAACTTTAGGAGATAATCACCAACAGATTTCCAAAGTGGCATTCCAATTTATACTTTCAATAATTTTTATATTATGGTATAATTTACCAAAGCTCTATAAACCCATAAATTTTCAATTACAATAGTATAGTAATAACAAAGTAAGCTACTTATTTTTGTCAACAATATTTATATAGCATCTATTAGGGCTCCTGTCCTCAAAGAACTGGATCTAGTAGAGGGGAGAGTGATATAAAACAGTAGCTGCGATATAGTATGGCCAGTGCAACAACACAGTATGTTCGAATACAATGGTTGAACAAAGGGAGGAGTGTTATCCTTGTTTGGGTGAGCCTGGCAAACCTTCACAGGACAGAAGACACTTTGTGCAGTCTTAGAGGATGGACATAAGTCTTCCAAGTGGGAATAGCCATTCCAAGCAAAAAAAATGTGTGGATGGATGGAGATCTGAAACAAGTTATGGCTGGAGTATAGGGAGTTTATAAGGGGATGGTGGGAAATGAGATTAGAAAGAGGTAGACAGGGCCATCTCAAAGTAATGGGGTTTAAGGGGCTATGGCAGGCTCTGAAGCAGAAACGTCTGTATGATCAAATTTTGTATTTTAGAAAAATCATTCTGGTGGCAGTGTGGAAGGATGAGAAGGCAGTAAAACTGAAAGAGAGATTATAATAATAATCTAGGCAAAAGATCCTGAGGGCCTGTACAAAGTGATGGGGATAAAGAATAGTGGAAAGAATGAGATCTATGATGGTGAAAGGAGGATTTTAGAGTTTAGAAACCAAGTGGATGAGGGGATTGATGGAAAAAGCCTAGGATGACACCAGGTTTCTGTTTTGAGAAAGGGATGAATGGTAAGGCTATTGACTCACCAAAATGGGGAAAATGGGAAGAGAAGCGGCAGGTTTTAGGAAAAGATTTTTCTAGGAATCTCTTGCAAAAATATATTTTATACTCATAGGTGAGAGAAAAGGAAAACCAAACACTCAGCAGCCTCTTTGAAAGAACTTAAGAAAGTAAGTTTCAAGCTTTCATTTAGAATGCCCAACAGAATTAGATAGAATCGGCCCTCCACGTACAGATCCACAGTTGGCTGAATCTGTGGATGCGGAACCTTGGAGAGGGAGGGCCAACTGTACATACTTAGGCCTCATAAAGGAAATGCTAGAGACACTTGAAAGTTTTGTTTTGTTTACTTGCCTACCTTTACTTATGGTCTTAGTTTTCCAACAGCTCTTAATGTACAAGGAAGTCTTTATTATTCAGACAAATTCATTGCTTTATTGAAGAGGCACATTCATTGCATCTCACATATTTATAACAACATACTGGCCCTTATTATTCACTAACCTTTTTGGGAACTATATACATATATTTTCTAATTGTTAGTCATGATAGACACCACAGGTTGGGTTTTGAGTTTATAACTATCTTGGACCTATGTGGGATGATCAGACATAATGGAAGACAGACACATGATTATTACAAAGAAATAAACTACTCACTTGTCTCTGAGAACAACGCCTTCAATACATGCACCAAAAAGGACAACATTGCTTAAATCTACAACATTGAGAGTCAAGGAAAGTGGCATTCTCTCTCTAAGATGAGATTAGAAAGTAGACACTCAGGATATTCCTTCTATCAGTAAAATGAGTTGCTAAATTCACTAATCCTATAAATTCTTGCTTGAATTTCAGAGATGAGGTGGGTAGATTATCTGGTGAGAAGGGAGGTGGTAGAAAGCGGATACCTTTACTACCAGGATAAAAATACTGATCACCCGAGTTCTTCTGGATGTTCCTATGACTAAGACTCAGACAGAACCCATGAAAAGGATACAGACAAAGGAGGTGGTCAAGATGGCAAGGATAGTGCCAATGGGAATAGACTTTTGAGCATCTTTCAGATCTCCAGATCTGTTTGATCCAGCCATGATACCTTTAGAGAAGGAAAAAAGAACAAGTTAACTTCTTGAATTCCTGGACACTTTGATTTTCACAATGATACCAAAGACTAGAGGCAAATGTAGGAACTCTGAGAATATAATTTTGTCTCCTAAGAAAAATCACTCCTTGGGTCTGCTGGCTTCTAAAATAGACAAAAAGCCTGTCTGCTTACCTGTGACAGAGGGAAAGAAGATTCCCACCAGAAGAGTGAAAGAGGCAGTGATGTCAACAAGGACATACTCATGGCTTAAGCTGCCTAAGACATCGGAAGATTTGGTTGAAGGCTTTTCAATGATCTCTCCTTTTGGTAGATAATTACTCCAAAGGTTCTCTGTAGTGGGAATAAAAGGAGATATAAGCAGCAGCAGTATGGAAAGAGGATATAGATGATTTTCTACCCAAACAACATTCTAAATCAGACTCCTCATTTATGCAGTTTTTAAAATTATGTTTACTTCCACATGAGCACATACATATTGCACAATAAAGTGCACACAGATAAAAACCTAATGCCCTTCCTCATCTAGTTCAAACATAATTTGACAAAATGCTTCGGTACATACGAATGCAGTTACGTTTACCAATGCAAATTAGCAGAAGTTAAGCAGACCAAAGCTGAATGTCCTGCAAACCCTCTTACTTTTCTTTTATTAGTCATCAACAGTGTTTCTAACACCTTAGTGTAAACTTGCTTACATGCAAAGAAATTTGTGGACCAAATATTTAAGATAGAAGTCACTTAAGGAAAGAGTTTCAGAAATTTAGCTAAGTTAAGCAAACACACATGGGGATGTGGTGACAATAAAATAGTTCCAGTTCAGTTGTCACTGAGGGAAGTACATTAGCAAGTTTACAATTAACACAACGAATATTTTATTATCTTATCTTATGTTGAAAAGTGATTTTCTGGGATCAGCCCAGTAGCATAGTGGTTAAGTTTCTGCACTCTGCTTCAGCGGCCTGGAGTTTGACGGTTCAGATCCTGGGTATGGACCTACACACTGCCCGTCAAACCATGCTGCAGTGGCAATCCACATAGAACCAGAAGGACTGACAACTATGATGTACAACTATGTACTCGGGCTTTGGGGAGGGGGAAAAAAAGGAGAAAAAGTGGTAACAGATGTTAGCTCAGGGCCAATCTTCCTCACCAAAAAAAAAAAAGTGATTTGTTCAGCTCTGCTCTCAAAAGGAGGTAAGTTTTGGCAGATAACACTGCAAGGGAGTCCTGAAAAAGAATGAATTCAGTAGTAGAAAAGCAGGAAGATGTTGAATTAAGAGCTGTATGCTGAGCTTAAGGAGGGAAGTGGCACCATGGCAGTACATCTTCAAGGACAACAGAAGAGTCTAAGATGACAAAGCCCGTTTTCCTCAGAGAAAAATAATAAACTTGTCCAAAAACCTCCTAACTTACCTGTAATGACACCACTAGCCAATCCAGGTATGCCCTGGATTGAAGTAACATTATTGTGAACAAAGTATTCATCACAGGTAGCATTGAAAAATTGACTTGAGTTACAGAAGAAGCCCCATAACTTTGATGGCACTGTCATGTTGCCAATTTCCTTGGTCTTAGAGCAAATGTCAATGTGTCGTGATGAAAGGGTGCGGTTACCCAGCATGCAGACCCTAAGTAAAAACAAACAAGGGGAAAGGTGAAGCAAGGGAAAAAAATAAATAAAAAAAGAAAGTAGGTTAGAAATAGGTTAGTAAACAGTAAACTGTTTAGTAAAGCAAAAAAAATCTCATCTCTAAGAGCTTCTACTGTCACAGATGGGAAAGGAACTAATATTTATTGACTAGCTCTATAAATAGTGACTTACATTTTCTGGCAAGTTAATCCTTACAGCAATCTCACAAAATACGTATTAGTATTTCTGTTTTGTGGGTGGAGAACTGAAGTTTAGTGAGATAAAGTAGTCTGCCTGAGGTCATGCAGGTGGTAGGTGGTAGCAAGAGAATTCAAACATAAGAACTGTCTAAAGACATTATGCTGACTCATCTTCCAAAATTTCTAGGTTATTAACCAATTGCTAGGTCTAAAAGAACCCTAGAGTCTTTTTATGTTCTTACAAAAAAAAATTTCCCCTATTTATATTTTTTGGCCTAGAAAAGCCTTATGTTCATAACAACCCCCTTTAAAACGTTACGCTAAAGGTCAAACCTTCTGGCTACTGTTTCAAGGAAGACAGCTTGGCTAGAATTAAAAAGCACATCCCTCTGTGGCCTAAGAGAAAACTCTTCTTGAACTTAAGCCTAGACCCAGTGGGAGTGTGGATATTTAAGGATAATACAAATATTAACTGCTGATTTTATTTTTTTCTCTAACCCAGAGATATAAATACAAACAAAGGAATAATACACCCACAGTTAAAATACCTCTCAGGAGGAACAAAGCAAGTTTTAAAATCTGCAAAATGATAGCACACATACAAAATGAACCATGGATCCCTTACTCAGCTTCAACAACTCTCAACATTTCCTAGTCTCATTTTATGCATTCCCCTAGGTTACCTTGTTTTGCTGGAATATTCTAAAGAAAATACCATGCATCATGACCTTTCACCTACCAAAAAAGAGAAGCATCAAAGAAGAATCTGAGGCAAAAATGGAAGTTTCCAAGTTAGGATATAGCCAGAATGTAGCTTTAGTATTGTTATGACTCTAAAATGGATCTTCAGCTAGTTTGCGGCCCCTAGATAAGTAGACTAAAAATTTATGATGGAATTTATTGCTGACATCACTTAGCACAGAAGAAAAACTGGACTAGGAGTCAGGAAATCGCAAAGCTTGTGTTCTTGCTCTGCCATTAACTAACTTTAACTGCCATTAATCTCCACGGACCTGTATTTTCATTTTGAAAACCTATTTTTCTGTAATCAGGTTAAATCAACATAGGATTGATGAGTTTGATCCCTGGATGATCCAGATGACTTTTCAAAGACAATCTCCGTAACGAGATTACAAACAACACTCAGAGCTGGCTAGTCCTTCTGCCACCAGTCAAACGGAGAACAGGTGAGCCTGTGAGTCACAGGGCTGTACAAATGCAGCACCACCTCAAAAAATAGACTTGAAGCTACCTGCACTACTTACGGTATGTAATATAATCTATATAGAGAGATATATATGCAAATGATTTGACATTTATTTTCCTTTACTTTGTGACTGGAAAGTCCATTATGGTACTAACAGCAAAATCAAAAATTTAACTACAAATATTTAGGCAAGAGTTTGGCTTTTCTTGACTCTCTTGATTTTTCATTAATAAAAAGAATCCAACATTTAAAAACTTTATAAAGTTTGATGGCAATAACTATACTGTTTGTAAAGCCCTTCGTGAATAGCTCAAATATGTACAATCATTATCAGGGGGTTTTGAAGAAACCTAATATCTATATACAAATGATAGTTACAGTTGCCAGCTCTATGCTTGGGACTTAAAGACAAGGATCGACAGGACAGTTTGCTGAGAGGCTTCCTGCCTAGATGCTAACTGGGCTTATCCAAGAGGGAAATCTCAGAGACTCTGAAATTTTGACTTGAAATAGTCATATCCCCAGATACTGTCAATGAGTACTCAATAATGATGGCTAGTCAGAGAGACAGACACGTACGGGAAGTGCGGAGGGGCAAAAGAAGACTTGATGGCTCCAGCATAGATGGCCAAGATGGACACAATGACACAGGCCAGGAAAAGTGAGGCAAACTTATTCACATAGCGTACGCCGATGAATACCACCAATACCAGGAGGACCAAGAAGGCTGTGCCATAGACACGCATGTTATTTAGCATGGCTGCTGATTCCTTGAGTGCATCATCGCTACGGAAGATGGCAGCCCGGGGTACAATGTATACCTATTAAGCCAAAGAAGTAGAAAATGAAGTCATTTCAAAGTAATCAAGTAAAAGGGCTGTTGCAGTTTGCATTTGCTTTCACAAAGGAAAGCAAAGCTGTGACAGAAAATGTCTGGAGACTTAGCCTAATTCTTACTTGGATCTGGAGTGTCTATGGAAATGGGATATCACTGATTTTTTTGTTTCAGTCTACATGCTTTTCTGAATACCTACACTTCCAAACGGAAAAAACAAGGAATGCATTAATAATTTATTCGAAGGGTTATATAAAATAATCGCAATGATTATCGTGAGTCCTATTTCTGCTATCATTACTTTAAATGGTAAAAAATATATCCCAGTGAACAAAGAAAGAAATGAAAAACATGTTATTTCATTCAGATACAGGTACCAAAATAAACTAATTTTCCTCATTAGCGCAAGTCTTGCCTCTGGAGACTAACTTCTTGGTTGAGGTGGTGGAGTGATGGTGATGGCGGGGTGGGGGAAGGAGCAGGCAGGCAAAGGACACCCTCAGCCTTTCTGCCTCATATCCACACGAGGAGGTCAATAACAGGTTAGCAGTCAATCACTTGATTGATTTCTATAGCTGATCTCTCAGAAGCTCTGATATCAAAGAACAAAATAAATCCAAATCTATATATTTTCTACACTGAAGACCACAATTAAGTCATTACTCACCAGAAAAATTTCAATGGCACCAAGGATATACATGGCTGCTGCAAATGTGGTACCAAGGTAAAAGCAGAGGCCAACAGCCCCGCCAAACTCTGGGCCCAGTGCCCGGGAAATCATAAAGTATGAGCCCCCAGCTAAAAGAGAAAATAGAAGGTGAACAGCATAAAAAAAAAGGATATTAGTAAGAGGAATATAGATAAGTCATAAAGAAGAAGAATAAAAATATGCATGAAGGATAAACCTTTCAGGCTTTTGAAAACCCTGAATATGATAAAAAGCAGATTTGCTAATGGGAAGTAAAAGATGAAATCTATTACATCTAGGGCTCCACATGAAGCAGCACAATTTGACAGTATAACTGAGAAAATTATCAGAAAATATTTACTACAGGCATGAGAGAACCAAATAAAATACATTCTAACTGAAAGAAGCTAAGAAAGTGATGGGAATTAAAGCATTCTAGCTTAGAACATGAAGAGATTTTTAAAGAGGGTATCCTAAAGTCACACAGTATTAGTGTCTACGGCCAACAGACTACATATCCTATTCTTTGGAAGTTTGCACCTCTGATTTTATAACTTAAACATACAGTAATCACTGACAACCCATGAAATCTGGCCTTAGCCTACTGACCTGGTACCACTCCATTAGTGGCAATGGCACTCATGGAGATAGCAGTCAACATTGTCTGTAAAGAAACGGAAAGGAGAAGACTGTTACTGTATAAGACGACATTTCTGTACTGTTTTCCCATCTGTGAACCTCACAGCACTTATTGAATATTTAACTCTACCTACATCTATAGAGGGAGTTGCCTGTCATACCTCACAGTGTGGAAACGAGATGTGATTCAACTCATTGCACTAGTCACACTACCATTATCTGCAGTATTTCTGTTAAAATGCCCCTGCATCGTAATCAGTAGGTTAGGAGTTATTAAGAACCACTGATCCTGCCATGGATCCCTTGTTAAATACCTTGGAAAACAGACTGGAAAATGACTAATAATATTCAGTAAGGAAGGGAACCACCGAAGACTTCTGAGCTCATAAGAACTTATTTTAAAAACATTACCTGGTAACACAGTTTAAAATGGATGGCAGATAGGGAGTAGATGGAGGGAGAGTGACTTGTTAGTAGCTATTATATAGTAGTTCAGTGAGAGGTAAGGACTACAGTGACGGTGGTGGGAGTATAAAGGAAGGGTTTATTTATAAATGTAAGAGATTTCAGAGGGAGACGTGATTGGCCTGGGTAGCTGATTTAAATGTGAGAGGCAATCAAGGAGCAAAATTATGGCCCTGAAGTTTCAAGACTAAGAAACTAAAAAAAAAAAAAAAAAAAGGTAGTACCATTAATTCTAAGTTATTATAGAGACTATGCCTGTGTACCTGCTTTGTATAGTTCTTAGCTGAGCATAACGCACAGAGAGGGTATAATGGTAATAATAAAGTGGTCAGTAGACACTGAAACTTACAATAAAATAGATAGATGTGGCTGGGATACACAGATAAGAACAGTTTAAACTAAAGGAAAATCAGAACGTTCTCCAGAGAGTGGAGAGAAGACCTGGAAAGAACACTTGAATTTCTGGGGAAGGGATAACAGATGAGACTTCAAAACAAAACAAATACCCCTCATCCCAAACAACAATCAGTTTTGTTTCTCAATACTACACTGGAGTAGTACAGCACATTTTCTAACACATTTCCTGTCACAACCTTGGTGCTATCAAGCTCAAATGGTTTGCCTTCTGAATTCTTTGAAGATGGGGACTGTATCTTCTACTTCCATAGGAGTCCTCCTTTATATTTCTGGTACATCATACTATACATATAAACAGAATAACTGACACTAAATAACTAACATCCTTTAGATTTTAACATCAAAATAATTTCTCCTGCCAAGATCATGACTCTTGCCCTAGTATTATTTGTTTTATTCCCCAAGAGGTCAAGTGCATATACTCTTGAGCTCTCGCAATGTTGCAGGTGATCTCCAGGAGCCACTCAGGACTTACACAGCAGCAGCAGATAAGGACAATCGCAAAGGCCTGAAGAACTCCAGCTGTGCCCACCACCCATGTAAGGCGTAGAAACAGGATCACTCCAAAAATATTCTGTAGACACGGGAGGTAGACACCCATGAAAGTACCCATTTGGGGGATCTGGAAAGAAAGAGGTTGACAGATGAAAAAATCATACAGTCATCTAGAAGAGATGCTTTTATCTCTTTACCTTTATATGAAAATTTGCTAACTACTATATTAATCTCAAAGCAGAGATAATAAGTTTAAGCACTATCTTAAAAGAGACACATAGAAAATCTCCATCATATTACAGATGTCTATCACCATACCTTTTGTTATTCCTAGAGCTATACATTTTTACTTTACATAGGTCCCTACACTTTGTTTTTTTAGCTGAGGAAAATATGCCCTGAGCTAACATCTGTGCCAATCTTCCTCTATTTTGTATGTGGATTGCTGCCACAGCATGGCCACCAACGAGTCATGTAGGTCCACATCTGGGAACTGAACCTGGGCCACCAAAGCAGAACACGCCGAACTTAACCACTAGGCCATGGGGCTGGCCCGAGGTCCCTACACGTTTTTACATAAACATTTGTTGATGAACTTTTAAGTGTAACCCCAACAATTTAAAATTTTCTGTTCTCCAAAGCTATTAGCTTTCTCTTCTCATCTAAAAATAGAATAATGACTTAATGGAATTCCTTCAGAACTTGGCATAAATCCTTCACAGTAGTTGGCAAAGGTAGTTGGTAAGATGAAGATCTAAGGGTCGTTTTACCCCTGAACAAGCAGAAACCTAGCCTGTAATATTGTTCCATATTTTGATTTTGAGAAAAACTGCTATTTGGTCTTTAAAAAACTCAACCATTTCGGAATAGAGAGATGGTACCAGCAGATGGGCATGGACCCTCTTCTTGTCAAGTGTTGTTCCCCCTCCCTGGAATGCTCTTCTCCCAGCTAGTCACGGTTCACTCCTCACCTTCCTTAGCTCTCTGCTCCAATATCACCCTGTCAGAAGGGCTTTCCCTGACCAATGTCTCTAAAACAGCAACACCCTCTGCCCTGGTGCCCTTGCTGGACAGTCTCAGTCTCTTTACCCAGCTTATATTTTGTTAGAGCACTTATCAGTGCTTACTATGTTATATTTTTTAACACAGTTAAACAGCCTAAAGACTGTCTCCCCACACTAGTATTCAGACTGCATGACAGCAGGACATTGTTCTGTTTGTGCTGTGACCCCTGTGCCCAGAACAGTGCCCGGCAAATATCAAGCATTCAATAAGTAGTTATGGAGCACAGAGTGATGCCCTGGATATTTCCTCCTTTCTTATATATGGGGCTTGTTTATTTATCTTTGTTATTCTAAGGCCGCACCTTGGTGGGCTTCTTTTTCCCTTCACTGATGTTCTCCGCCTCTTCATGTTCCTTTGCTCCTTGTGTTAGATTGGTATAATTGGCCATGCGGCTGAGGAGAGATGACACCTTTGGTCTGGTGTCCATTTCCTCCTATAAAGCCAGAAATATGGAAGAAAGGAGTGATGAAGAACACACTGTAAATAAGCATCAATATGACCCCTCTACCAGAAAATTACAAAGTAAATGAGAAAATATTTCACAGGTAAATATTTTAAGAAACTTTATCAATAAGACTTTTCCTCCTACATTAAAATGTCACACTTAATTAGGGCTACATGAATCCTCATAAAATTCTTAAATGAAAAGCTTCATTATTCTATCTAATAGCTTAACTTTACAGTAGAAACAAAATCACACTGGTCCCTACAGACAGCAGTAATCTTGTAAAGAACACTGATAATGTGATCTTTAAGCACAAAACCCCCTTTCTTTAGGCTACTAACATTCAAGACTATTATTTACAGCATCAAGCACAGATGAAAAACTTTTGTGACTTCACTAAATATTCACTTCAGACCGTTTCTTGAAGGAAGCTGAGAGAAAATATTTTAAAAATAGGTATACCGAGAGAAGTGACACACACATCATTGTCCAAAGCTAGACAAAGGCAGTGCTGGACTAAACCCAGCCTCCTTTAAAGAACTCAGCCGCAGACTCCATCAGAGTCCATGCTGTCAGTCAGATAAGACATACAGGTCCTCCTAATCTAGCAGCCTGCTTACTACACTGGTTTTTGGTTAGTACTTCTAAGGTAAATGATAGTCTTCCCAAACACAGAGTTGAAAAAACACTATTTCTTACTAAGAAGATAATTCCAAAGTAAACATTTAAATCCTAGCTAAATTAGATAGCAAGGTTCTCTATATGCCTGTGGTGTCAACATTCCTCCTCATTTCACAGAAATTCAAAGTTCCTCACTAATCAGCAATAATTGATTAGATTATATAGATGAACTACAATGACATTATAACTATTGTATTTTAACAATTATTAAATTATCCAGCCTGTACCATTTTAAAACTAAACGTCGTAGAAAACAGCTATCTTGAAATCTCCGCCCTAGTTTTCTCCCAAATATTACCTCAAAGAGTGCCAAGTTTCTATCAAAATATTCATCTCCTTCTTCATAATTGGAATTATTGAGATAAGCATTTCGAGCTTTCTTATGCCCATCATCTGGAAAGAAATTAAACCAAGTTAGTTTCTCACTGGTATTGAAGAAGCATCAGTACCAAATAACTGCATGTTGCCTCTGTATAAAGAGAATCCATTTTCATCTGCAAATTTTAATCTGAGAGCAGCAGAACTTAATCAGCATTGCTTGGAGAATGTGGCTCCCTCTCCAACAGGAGCAAAACCAAATCTCTAAGAAGGAAACATAGGTCATTCCTTTTCTTAATCTGAAGACCTGTGGAAACAAGATTCTTTTTAGGATTCTGGCCTATAGAGACCCTACTCTTGACATCACTCAAATCTAGGATGAAAAAAATAGAATACTTACTGAATACCTACTCAGTGTACAACACTATGCTAGTAGACAGGGGCCACTTTACATACTGTTGCTGTTGACAACGGCAGTCAAAGTGCTCTGCTTCCAGGGCTCTCCAACTTTTTATAAATGACATTAGGTTATTTAACCAAGTATTATTTTTGTACAAACCCTTGCCACATATTTATGTTAAAAGAGGCACCCTACAAGAATCTGGTGACGCAGCTATGGAAAAAAAAAAAAAAAAAGATTGTTGTCTGAGCACTTTCTCAACTTTGGTTCTTTACTGTGTAAAAGCTATAATTATATATAATTATACAAAAAGTATATAATTACAATCGTCTGGTAGGAGAGAAAGAGAAAATAAAAAATTATGTGAATGTTATTAAGAACTAAGATTTTAAGTTCTTAGGAAATAAGACACCAAAATAAAAATTAAGGAAATTAATTTAAAGTCGTATAAACTTAAACATATAAGGTGAGCTTGAAAAATAGCCAATAGGCTATCAAAATAATTGGGTCACCTCAAAGGACACAAAAGCCAAACTGAAGGGGTTCCCACGGGCTAAAAGCAGGATAATATGAGCACTAAAAATAAATAACACAATAGATTGAAATGCAAATATGGAAATACCCAAAATGATTTTTTTAAAAAACTAGTCACCTTTGTGGAATTGCTAAGGAAACAAGATATAACTCTGAAAAATGATAAATGGAAAAAATTAAGCAATTTCCTGCTTTTCCTGTACCAACTGTATTTCACGGTAACCAAATAGTTAAAGAAAATTTCATCATTATAGAAATATTCTAGCTAATAGATGCAGTTAGAATGATATAATTAGAAAAAAATCACCAATTTTCAAAGCCTAATGAAATAATGGATCTAGGCAATTATCATCAATAGCTGCTAAAACCATTAGGTGAAAGGCAGGGGCAGAACTTCATAACGGATGGATCTGCGTGATCTGGAACCCACAGATCAATCTTCACATCACTGAAAGCAGGACAGCACAATCTCCTGATGTAATATAATGAAAATAACACTGTGTAACCTATGATGTGTTCTTACCAGAAGAATGAAAATTGAATCTAATCAAGCCTGTAAATCTAACTACCAGTTCACAGAAGACAGAGGAGGAACATGTTCGACATCACCACAAAGATGCAATCATCAAATTCAGAATGTGGGAAATTCTATATGACAATCTGATTTTTTAAACAAATAAATAACTAGAAAGAGTGAACTCTTTCTTATAAATTAAGAGACCAACTGCAGGATGTGAAACCTGTTAGAATCCCAACTCAAATCAAATGTAAAAAAACATTTTTGAAACACAGAAATCTGAATATGGACTGGTTATGTTTTTAAAAAAGGGTAAGTGAAATGATATGATGTCTGGAATTTTCTTTAAAATATTCCAGGAAAAAATTAGGTAGGGGGTTGAAAACAGATTCGCAACATTGTTGAAGCTAGGTGATGGGTTCATGGAGGTTTATCATGCTGTTCTCTCTATTTTCTTATACCTTTGGAAATTTCCATAATAAAAACTTACAAAAAGGAAGGAAAATGTGGGGTCTGGCCCTGGGGCATAGTGGTTAAGTTCAGCATGCTCTGCTTCGGCAGCCCAGGTTCAGGGGTTCAGATGCCGAGTGTGTCCCTATACCACTTGTCAGCCACGCTGTGGTGGCGACCCACATGTAAAGCGGAGGAAGACAGGCACAGATGTTAGCTCAGGGCTAATCTTCCTCAAGCAAAAAAGAGGAAGATTGGCAACTGATGTTAGCTCAGGGCTAATCTTCTTCAGCAAAAACACAAAACAAAACAAAACAAAAAAATAAAAAATAAAGGAAAATGTAATTCTTGTCCTCTCTTTAATGGTTCCAGAAAGATCTAAAGACAATGACACAGCTTAAAATTAACACTACTTTTGAGTAATTCACTTATTCAATTAACTCAACAAGTATTTATTAAGTTCTTATTATGTGCTGGGCACTATTCTAGCTTTTGGGGACACAGCAGTAGACAAGGCAGTTAAAGACCCTGCTTTCACTGTGTGTATATCGAGGTCACAGAAAGCAGAAAATAAGAAATAAAAAAAAATTTCCAGAAGTGGTAAGTTCAATGAAGGAAATGACACAGGTACTGGGATAGATTATGGCTGAGGAGGGGAAGGACAACTTCAGGTAAGATCAGTGGCGTGCTGGTAAGCAGGATCTCCAGAATGAAAAAAAAAATTCTGATTTTATGGTATTTGCTGACTTCTGTGGTATAAGCATTCATACATAGACAATTTCAAAGTACTAATGTGAAGTCACTGAACATGGTTTTGGGAAGAGAGCATACAACTGGCTCTCATAAGCTGGTATGAGCTGGCAGTAGCACACCTCCTGCATAAGATGGTCAGGAAAAGCCTGCATTTCAGGTAGAGAGAATAGCAATTTTAAAAGATCCTAAAGCAGAAACAATCTTAATGGATTTATAAAACTTAACGAATAACATGGCTGAAGCAGAGAGAGGAGAGAGTAGTTAGAAATGTAAGAAGCCAGACGATGTAGTTAGCAGATGGATAGTTCTTCCAAATCCATTTATTGAATAGTCCCTCCCTGTCCCATTGACCTATTCTACATAATGACAACATGATGGGTATTGGGGCCGGGGAGAGTGATGTGAGGGTATGCTAATATTCTTTTCTTTGTTTGGGGGACTGGAGTAACATAGATAGCGTTTCTTTTTTTTTTTTTGCTGAGGAAGATTCACCCTGAGCTAACATCTGTGCCAATCTTCCTCCATTTTCTACGTGGGGTGCCGCCACAGCATGGCCACCACTGACTGGTGCAGATCCATGCTCAGGATCTGAACCCAGGCTACTGAAGCAGAGCACACCAAACCTAACCATTAGGCCACAGGACAGGCCCCAATAGCACTTTTTTTTTTTTTTAAAGAAGAAACTAAAAAACTAACAGAAAAAGTGGGAAGAATGGAAATAATAGATTAAGATGGCAGAATGGTTCAAATGAATCAATAATACCAATAATGCAAATAGACTAAATTCACTCATTAAAACAGAAAGATTGACAGACACAATTCAACAACAAAACCCAGGCATATACTGTTTACAAGAGACATAATATAATGACACACAAAGGCTGAAAGGAAAGAGCTATATCAGGCAAATATTAACCAAAAGAAAGCTGATATAGTTTTATTATTATCAGATAAATTTGTCTTTAAGAGAAAAACTTTATTAGGGATGAGAAAGCAACCACGTAACAAAAGGCTTAATTTTGATAAAGTATAATAATTTTAAACATCTATCTATTGTTTAGTTTTCTCTTTCTGTTAACAAGTTCCTCCCAAATTTAGTGGCTTACACAACACATTTATTATCTCACAATTTGCCTGGGCTAGAAATATGGTCATGGCTTAGCTGGGCCCTCTGCCTCACAGTCTCCCATGAGGCTCTAATGAAGCATCTGCTAGGACTGCAGTCTCATCTGAAGGCCTGGGGAAGGCCCACTTCCAAGCTCACTCACACAGTTGTTGGCAGGATTCAGTTCCTTTCAGGCTGTTGGCCAAGGCCTCTCTCTCTTCCTTGCTACCTGGGTCTTTCCATGGAACAGTTTACAACATGGCAGCTGGATTCCCTCATAGTAAGCCATCAAAGAGAGGCAGGGAGGAGTGCAAGACAGATGTCACAGTCTTTCTATAATCTCATTTAGAAAGTGGCATCCCATTGGTTTTGTCATATTCTATTAACTAGAAGGAGTCATTAAGTCCAGCCCTTACTCAAAGGAGAAAGGATCACACACGGGCACAAATATCAGGAAGCAAGGATCATTGGGAACCAACCTAAGAGGCGGCCTATCACATCCATCCATCCCCCTATCCATCCATCCATGCCTCAAAATATTTGAGGCAAAAATGGATAGAACTATGGTGAGAAATTGATATATCTACCATCAAGATTTTAACATACTTCTCTAATAATCAATAGATGAGGCAGATAAAATAAGCCAGGGTAAAGAGATTTGAATAATACAATGAGTAACATTAACTAATGGACATAGAATTTGCATCCAAAATTAAAGAATATACATTTTAATCAAACACACATGAAAACTTATAAAAAGTTATCATGTACTAGACCTTAAAGACTAAACAAATTTTAAACAGGTATAATATAGGCCATGACCTTGGTCCGTAACAACTAAGTTAGAATTTAATTGTAAAAAGATGAATTTAAAAATCCTTGCAAATTTAGAAATTAAAAAATAACACACTGACGAACAACTCAAGGATCAAAGATTAAAAAAACTTAAGAACTGAATAACAATGAAAACACCACATATTGAAATTTGGAGGATCCAGCAAAAGCAGCACTTCAAAGGAAAGTTATTGCCTTAAAATTTTACATTAGCAAAGTAAAAAGAATAAAAATTATATGAACTAAGTACCTGTTTTACGAAGCCAGAAAGAGAGCAGAATAAATCCTAAGACAGTAGAAGGCAAAAGATAATGATAACTATACCAGCTGTCTTTTGATTAAATGTCCTTTTCTGTCTTTCAACTTCCCATTTTTCCTGGGTCTTTATGCTTTAGGTAAATCTCTTGTTAACAGCAAATAGCTGGATTGTTAAAAATCTGACCATTTGTTTTTTTAACCATCGTTTACTCCATCAACTTTAGCAACTGACATATTTGGCCTGAGTTCCACCATCTTTTTATTTCTATATGTTCTTCCTTCGCTATGATTCATTCTCATTTCCTCTGGATTTTTTGGTTTGTTTTCCCCTTATTCCATTTCTTCTCTCTCTTCTCTTGGAGTTCCCACACTCTATTTCTATTCTTGTAGCAATTACTCTTGAAGTTTTACCACATATTTTACCTAAAACAAACTGATAAAGTCTGAACAAAAGCTTTTCATCCTCCCAAACATCAAAAAGACTTTTGAACACTATAGTTCCATCTCTCTCCTCCTGACTTACACAGTATTATTGTCCAATATTTCCAGTAGTCTATTTTTTTTTGAGGGAGATTAGCCCTGAGCTAACATCTGCCGCCAATACCCCCTCTTTTTCTCTGAGGAAGACTGGCCCTGAGCTAACATCTGTGCCTATCTTCCTCTACTTTACACGTGGGACGCCTACCACAGCATGGCTTGACAAGCGGTGCATAGATCCGCACCTGGGATCCAAACCCGTGACCCGGGCTGCCAAAGTGGAACGTGCGCACTTAACCACTGTGCCACCGGGCCGGCCCCTCCAGTAGTCTGTTTTTTCACTCCACAAATACGACACTAAAATTATTTCATAGAGACAACATTGATTTGAGTCAAAGTCCATGTTTACCATTTCATTTGTTCAATGTTCTTTGTTGCATTTCAGAGTACTAGTCTTCTGGGATCATTTTCTTTTTACTTGAGGTACATTCTGCAGAATTTCTTCAGAGGGTTTCCCAAATTCAGCACTATGAAACTTTGGACAATTTTGGACAATTATTTGTTGTGGGGGACTGTCCCAATGCACTGTAGGGGATGTTTAAGAGCATCCCTGGCCTCAACTCACTAGATGGTAATAGCACCTCCAGTAGTGACAATTAAAAATGTCTCCAAACATTTCCATATATCCCATGGGGGGCAAAACTGTCCACAGTTGAAAACCACTAGTTTAGAACAAGTTTCATGGTGAAAAATGTCCTCTGCTTTTATTTACCTACAATTGTCTTTATTTTGCCCTTATTCCTGAGTGTCTTGTTAAGCACAATTGTACGATAATAAAATTTTTGCAAACAATTTAAAGAATTATTTGTCACCTGTTTTGCTGTTGAGAATTCTTCTGTCATTCTGATGTTCCTTTGGTGATCTGTCCTTTCTCTCTGGCTGCTTTCAGGATCTTTCCTTAGGTGTCCTGCAGCCTCATTAAGATACGTCTAGATGTAGTTTTCTTTTTGTTCACAAACACTCTTCACCTGTTTCTAATTTATTCTGTAACCTCTTCATTTTTTATATCAATAATTATATATTTTTTTCTAGAAGTTCCATTTGTTTTCCTTCTCCCTAAACAGTCTTTTATTCCTGAGTAGAATATTCATTTTCCTAATTGCATCCTTTATTGACTTAGACATTGAATAGTTTTGTATCTAAGACTCAGGACCACTTCATCCCTCTTGAGGGTTATAGGAAGAGTCCCAGCTTCAGCATACTACTTCCCTGCTGTTCAATAGCCTGAGAGTGTTGTTGCTATAAAAATCCAGCCTCAGAACAGTCCTGCCTCATACTACTGCCTGCTGGTCCAAGCCACTTCCTAGCAGCTCTGGCTCTTCTTGCTGCAGCCCTGGCACCTCTACATTTGGGGCCTGTATAGTCTCAGATTTCAGGTGCAACCACCTTAACTTTCAGACACTCTGGTCCTGGCTGTTTCTGGCCCAGCTTCCATTTGCTTGCTTCCTTAATATTTGAGAGGGTGTCGGGGAGTGAAGACTTTGTCTACATTTAGGAGACCAATGATGCCTCCAAGATTGTCCTACCCAGGATCTACTTGTGGCAGTGTTGTGGAATGAGAAGGTCTTACAGAGCTCCAGGTCCATCACGAAAGGTCACAGCTTTCCAGGCTAGGAACAAAGGTCTCATCAAGAGTGGTTAATTGAAAAGGCATGAATCAATGAGCCACGAAATCAGGAGAGGTTATACTGAAAGGCATAGATCAATTCTCCATCTGAATATCTTAGTTGGAAATCATGCTGCTTCAGATGTACAGCCTTCAGAAGTCTGGATCACTACTGTGACCCCAGAAATCCCAGATAGAATGGAAGTTCTAAAGTTTCTGAATAGTAAACAACCTTTACTCTGCAGGAACTAAGAAGCAAATCCATATCCGAGGGCTGTTTTAAGATTATCCAGAATCCTAAGAAGATTCCTTTGGAGGATACCTATGGAGACTAGCCTCAGTAATGCTTTGAATTAAACAGCCCATTCGATCACTTATGTTTCTTTTTTCTCACTTTACTATCTAAATAATGCCGACACTACTGGGAAACTTACTGGTGTTTCACTGTATCATTCAAATGAAAGCTGATAGGAGTGTCACTATTGGTTCTACTGAAGATTTCAGATTTCCATATTTTATACATTTTTTTGTAAAAGAAAAATGGTATACCAAATGTCCTGCTCTTTATAAAAACATTATCGTTGTGGTGATATTATTTCTATAACGTTGCTTTTGTCAATTACCACTTACACTACAGTTTGGGCCTAAGATAAATCTCAGGTCTCTCCCTCAGTCTCCTGATCTTGTCAAATGGCCTTTGCTGGTCTGAGCTAGGCAGGAGGAGAGTAGCAAATGTATTTAATTTCCTTGGCACAGGTTTGGGTTTGAACTATGTGACTACGTGAACATGAAAAGTTATCTCAAATGCTGTACATTATGTTTTTGATAGTATAGCTTGAATCAGTAGCCAAATAACAGGCATACATTATGACTGGTTGCTGTATCTTAAGTCTACAGCTTACTCTCTCTTCTTGTTCTTTGCAATTTATTTGTAGACGAAACCATGTCATTTGTTCAGTAGAGTTTCTGACTGTCCGGATTTTGACGATGGCATCCATGTGTTGTCATTAAACATGTTGTTCTGCTTTTTGTATTTCCTAAAAATTGGTAATTAAGTCTAGAGGCTTAACCACATTCAGTATTTTTTGGGGTGGGGGAAAACTTCTTCATAGTGGTATTTTGATGTTCTATCAGGGGGTACGTGTCATCTGGTTGTCCTTCTTTTTGAGATACTAGTAACCGTTAATGATTAATCCCTAGACCATTAATTTAAGAGGAGTTACAAATAGTGATATTCTTATTCTATTTATTAGCTATGCTTCTTTTGTTTATTAGATGAAATACTTTTATAAGGAGACATTCATTCTAATATATTATTTGATCACCCCTTGGTATAATTAGAGGCAAGACAAAGACTTCATTCTTTCCCTTTATTGACCAATTCTCAGAATAATAAAGTAGTTCACTAGAATACTCCAATGGTGACCAATTAATATTTTAAAGTATCATTATGAACTCATGAATTTAAATATTGGATATGTTTCAAATGCTTTTTCTGCATCTATTAACATGAGTATACCATGTTTCTCCTTTAATCTGTCAAGATACTGAATTATATAAATATATTTTTAATGGCAAACCAACCATGTATTTCTAGCACAGACCCAACGTGGTCACAGGAGTAACTTCCTAAATATATTGCTTGATTCAGGTGGCAAATATTTTGTTTAGGATATTTGTATCTGTGTTCACAAGTAAAAGTGACCTATGCTTTTCTCATATTATCATTGTTAAGTTTTGGTATCAAGGTTATGAAAGCCTCAAATTGATTTGGGGAATGTTTACTCATTTTTCTATTCCTTGAGAGAAACTGTAGAAGTATGGGATTATTTTTCCTCGAATGTTTGGTAAAACTTGTTGTGAAAATGCCAGGGCCCAATGCTCATTTGCTTGATTTCTAAAATGTTTTAAATTGAAAATTATTACACACACACACAGAGAAGTTGATAAATCTTAAGTATACAGCTTGATTCTTTTATCACAACAGCAGCTTCACCCTTCCTTAAGTCTCCTTAGCCTGACCCTGAGTTTTGCAAGTGATCTGACGAGTCAGTGGGAACACTAGATATATTAAAATAACTGTACCTCATTGAGAGGAAAAAACATTTAGAAGGTCTTTATGATGCTATTATAAATTCAACTGAGCAGGCAAGGCAACTGAACCAGTTTTTCACCTACTAGATCAAATTGTTCTAAATGAGATTTTCACAGAGAGCTGGCAAGATTTTATTTCAAAATACCAATGCCTTTTCTGAGGAACTCTAAAATGGTTAGAAAATATAACAAAAAATTATCTTTCACTCTTTTGCAAACCCAACTTTTTTTTTTTTTTAAAGATTTTATTTTTCCTTTTTCTCCCCAAAGCCCCCCAGTATACAGTTGTATATTTTTAGTTGTGGGTCCTTCTAGTTGTGGCATGTGGGATGCCGCCTCAGCATGGCCTGATAAGTGGTGCCATGTCCGCGCCCAGGATCCAAACCAGTGAAACCCTGGGCCGCCGAAGCAGAGAGTGCCGACTTAACCACTTGGCCACGAGGCCAGCCTCAAACTCAACGTTTTTTTAAAAAAAACAGTCTTTCAAGGATTTTGAGGTGTCATTAAAACAAAGATACCTAGGATGGGAGACAAAAGATGTTAGTTATTAAGAGCATGAGCAAAAAGAATATGATCTGACTTAATGAATCTAGGAGAGAGAACCCTGGGCAGCAAGATGAACTTATCTGAGAATCTAGCTAGAAGACTCTGGATAAATTCCCAGGTTTATTTAAAATTGAATGCAACCACAGGTTGCCAAATGAGATTATTGTCTGGAGTAGCCTCTTTGCAAATACTATTAGGGGTCTCGGCTGTACTGACTAAGAGAACTCTTTCTTCACAATCACATACTATTCCTTTTTACCTACAATTTGCCTGCTATCTTTTACTGCAGTGCTTAATAGGAAACAAAATCCAGCTTAGTCCTGGAACAGTATCAAATCCCCTGACTGTCCATTTCATTAGCTAAGTCCTTCCCTACCTCCATTACACGAGTCCCTACTCTCAAAGTTCTTTACCTGTCAGGCATTATCAGAGACAGAAGCAATTTAATAGTTTACGGGGAATATGTACTTTTCATGGTCTGGCAAAATCTTTCAATGAAATCTTAACTATTCTTGATCCAAATATAAAATTTTTATATAGAGAAGACTAATTTTGAACAGTATGAATAACATAAAAGTATAAAAAAGAAATGAGTGACAGCTTTAATACCACAAAGCTAGGACCCTGGTGATCAGATTTCTAGCTATATGCTGACGTCAAACCATTTTCTTAACAAATATTTATCGAGTGCCGAGGGTGTCAGGTATTGTTCTAGCACATAAACTCACTCAAAGGAATGAAAATTAAGACTAGAAACTTATGTCCTTACCATAGAAAGAGCAGAAAAGGAGAATTCCAGTCACTTCAACTAATACTCTGAACCTTTAATAAGCAAGCGAGTCAAGTGCCTTCTCTACTTTGGACTTTTTGCAAATCAAAAGACACATACACATGCACAAAATGGCTGTTAACATATTTAAAAGTACTTAGCCTCACTCATAATTAAAGAAACATAAATAAAAATTAAAGATGCCATTTTCACCTATTAGGTAAAAAAAATTTTTTAAGTTTGATAATGCCTACTTTTGATGATAGGGAGCTGAGTATGCCTCCATACTCCTTATCAGTGGGAGTTTAAGTTGGTGTATCTTTTTGAAAATGTACATACCCTTTGACCAAGGAATCCCACTGTTAGGAATTTATCCCACACACTGGCAATGAGAATACAAGGATATACGTACAAGATGTTCACTGCAACATAATTTGTGACGGTAGAATACCTGGAAGTAACCTAAATGCTCATGAATAGGTAACTGGCTGATTAAAATTACAGAATAGTATTCCATTGTATTCCTCTACTATCACAAAGAATGAGGCAGATCTTTATGTATTGATATGAGATGTCCAAAATAAAATGGTCATTGAAAAAAAGGAAGTCACAAAATGGTCTGTATAATATAACTCCATTGATAGGAAAAAAATGATAGTCATATATAATTAAAAATTTCTAGAAGAATGCCCAAGAAAGTATCAACAGCAAGTACCTCAGGGGAGTAGAGGAGAGGCAGTGGGGAGAAGAGATACTTTAGAGGACTTTACTTTCTTCATATTTACTTTTTTTATTGTCTGAATTCCTCACCAGAATTCCTCACCAGATTACGTTTTAAAAATGTATCAGTTCTGGGCCCGCCCGGTGGTGCAGCGGTTAAGTGCGCACATTCCGCTTTGGCAGCATGAGGTTCGCCGGTTCAGATCCCGGTGTGGGCATGGCACCTCTTGTCAAGCCATGCTGTGGTAGGCATCCCACATATAAAGTAGAGGAAGAGGGGCTCGGATATTAGCTCAGGGCCAGTCTTCCTCAGCAAAGAGAGGAGGATTGGCAGCAGATGTTAGCTCAGGGCAATCTTCCTCAAAAATAAATATAAATTTTAAAAAAATGTATCAGTTCTGAGATGTGAAATTCTTGTCAAATTACAAGCTTACTGCAATTTAAATAAGCTGTACCCAGAGGAGATTAATTCATTTCCATAACTTATTTCATAGATAAGGAACTAGAACATCAATTTCTATCACTAAAGCCATGTTGTTTATGAAGTACTTTCAGTAATTAAAAAGAAGATGATCAAAAGACCAAGAAAAATAACAAAAAGGGCAAAATAGCTGCAAAGCTCAAGATATTGTAGAGTATTATAATATCCTTTCCAAAATTATTTTGGAAAAAAAGCTCTAATTCTTACAGATTTTTTTAAACCACACACTATGTAAAATTACTTTTTAATGTAACTAAATTGAGTCTTAGCAATCAATTGCAGAAGTAGTTTCCTAAAACTTACCAAGTTGGGAATAAAAACAGCAGGAAAAAAAGTTGAGGAATGAAAAGTAGAAAAGGAGGGGATAGAAAATAGAATTAGAGAAGGGAGTAATGTCTGTTAGTATAAGGGGGGATGGGGTGACTTCAGAGAGCGTCAGTCCCCACAGTAATACTATACCTAACAGCTGGCTGTGTTCCCCTGTGATGGAGTTCTGACTCGGGTCTGCAAAACAAACAATTGAAAAGAAAAGAAACCATGAATGACCAAAACAAATAATTTCTTAAAAATCAGCAACAAAAGTCAACCAAGGCAATAAGCAAAAAATTTTTTAAATGCTCAAGAAACATTAATGAAAGGATATTTATTTAAAAAAAAATCACACAGCTTCTTTTCAAAAGTTAAACAAACAATAACCATGTAACCCAGGAATTCTACTCCTAGGTATATACCCAAAAGAACTGAAAACAGGTGCTCAAACAGGAACTTTGTGACAATGTTTATAGCTGCACTACTCACAATAGCTAAAAGGTGGAAACAACCCAAGTGTGCTTCAACAGATGAATGACTAAACAAAATGTGGTATATACATACAATGGGATATTATTCAGCCATAAAAAGGAATCGAATTCTGATACATGTTGCAACATGGATGAACCTTGAAAACACTATGGTAAGGGAAATAAGCCAGATGGAGGAGGACAAATATTGTATGATTCCATTTCTATGAAACATCTAGAAAAGGGAAATTTAGAGAGACAGAAAGTAGAGGTTACCAGGGGCTTGGGGAGGAGGGGGGGAATGGGGGGGCTACTGCTTCCTGAGTATAGAGTTTCTGCTTGGAGTGATGAGAAACTTTGGAAATAGACAGTAGTCATGTTTGCACAACATTGTGAATATAACTAACAGCCACTGAATTGTGCACTTCAAAATGGTTAAGACGGTAAATTTTGTGTTATATATATTTTACTACAATAAAAAGTAAAAAAAATAATCACACAAATTTGACCAAGCAATAATAGTTCCATAAAGTAGAAGGCTGATTCAGGGCCTAGGACATGAGTTACATTTTCTCTTCACTAACAAAGGAACATATTGACCATGGCAGCTCAAAGTCAAGACACAAGTAAAGCACTCATTATTACTAGCACATATGCTCTGATTTGACTTTAAGATGAAATGACTAAACTGGCTTTTATAAATATCTCTTCCTTCAGGAATCTATAATTAAATTAGTGGCAATAAGCCAAGTTGCTAATGCAAGAGATATTGACAATCACCATTTAACAACCAACCACTTGTTTATTTTAAATGCTTGAAAAGCATTAAAGGCTAAATATGGAAAAGACTCTGAGCTCCATTTTACTCTAAGATTAAGTCTCTTGAGATATTGCGGATAACATTTGGCTTTCTCAAATGTGTCTGGGGCAATAAAAATAATTTTGGACCAGGGGGTCTGTGAACTATTGGAAAAAAGTTACATCTTCATTTTCACTAACTCTAATTGAAGTTTAATCTTTTCTCCAAATATGATGTATGCAACAAACTACATAAAGTATTTGTGATTTTTGTCAA